AATATATATAATATTATATATATTATATATATTCAATAATTCCGATCAAACAATGCGATATTCAATATCAAATAAAATACTCGCGATATCTTTTTGATATTATCAATAACAGAATATCGATAATACTAAAATATCAAATATCAAAAGAATTATATCCATATTGTTGATATATCGATATCATATGCTCATCCCTAATCTCGATCGACTTTCGACGATTTCAGAGCGTGAAAACGTCTCTCGTTACGCAACGAGAGAGACGTGCGAATCGAGAGTGAGTTCAACCGGCTTTAACGCATTTCGTACACGTTCTCGGCAGGCGTCGTCATCACGTTCGCGAAGCACGAAAACGTAATCGAGGTGCCCGCGGGATCATCGGCGCAGATAATGTGTCAGACTAAATCCTCGGTGCGCGAATGCCAGTGGTCTTGGCGACAATTGAACCAGTCGCAGCCCTGGAACCTCGATGTTAAATCGTTCCCAGCCTTCGGTAACGACAGCACGGAATGCAGTATCAAGTTCAAGAACGTTCTGCCGGAGCAGGAAGGCTACTGGACCTGCGGCGCGCGGATCGATCCGAATTCCTCATTCACCCAATCGACTCCCGTTCGATTTCTGATATCGGAAGGTATCGTCTTTCACCGATTTCTTCGCTCAGATGTTGACGTTTCAAATATTTATTGACAAAAACCTTCAATGACAGTTACATTTTACGCGTGTAAAAAAATAATACAAATAATCAGAAGATCTATTTTGTTAAAAAAAAAAAAAAATACAGCACAACGTGGTTGAAACATTTTGTATTTTATAATAATTCGAACACATTTGAGAAACAAACTGACAGTGACTTGTGTCGCAACTGCGAGCAACTCCGTTGCTTCAACAACCACACCGCGCGCTACCCGTTTTTCTCGATCGAAAAAAACTACCCTGGGTGCTTTTGTTTCCCTTTTATAGTCGAGTTCGTGCAGTTGTCCCGCGGCGTTCAAGTAGCGGCCGGCGAATCGGTTTTCCTTCGTTGTTTCGCGAACAAGCCGGTGGTGCAATGCGAGTGGTCGTGGAGGCCGTCGAACTCGAGCAAGGAACCGCTGCTTGTGAAGAAGTTCAATCCAAACAAGGACGCGGATCACGACTGTTCCGTGCGATTCAAAAACATACTGTACGAGGAGGAAGGACTGTGGACTTGCGGCGTGCGTTTGACGCCCGACGGGATTCTGCACACGGCTCCGCCGGCGACCGTCAGCCTGCTCCCGACCGGTACGCGGAAACGATTGTTGACTTTTTAAATTAAGAAATTAAATAACACCCGACAATCGGTCGAGAGTGTCGTTATCGACACTCGTGTGGATTTCGATAATTACAAATTGCGCGCGATTTAATATCCACGTAATTACGGTACACACCTAACGTCTCTTTCTCGCTAATTTCAAGCTATAACGTCTCAAATTACCGAAGATAATGCGAGGTTTGATTCTGTGTGTGTTTTTGCGCACATGGGAAATTTTGCAAAATGACAATTAAACGCCGATGGAAATGTTATTTATATTTTCTGATTGCACACTGAGAAAAAAAAGTTGGTGAAGTAACAAAATAGTTATTCGATTCAACTATACGCAGCGGTCACGGGCTGTCAATAAAATATATTGATTAATATGTAAGAAGATATCATGTTTCGATAGATATGATAATTAGATTATTACCGAAAGACAATTTAGTTGTTTTAACAAAATTTATAATTTGTTTAAATACAGGTAACTTTGAACGTACAACACAATGGGACAACGCAATATTTTGTCTGCTTGTAAAAATAAGCAGTTTGATTAAATGAAATACTTGGTACAAAGAAATTCCAGATTATATTCAATTGAAGTAAATGAGAATTGCCTGTTTCATCTTTTTTAACAGGTATCTTTTATTCGAAATTATCACAACTTATGTTTCGACAAAACAATTCGTGGTTCAGTGAATTAAAATTATGTTCATTGCCACTATTGTTAATTCAACTTACTACGAATTTGTTATCTTTATTATCGTATGCTTGAATTAAAAAAAACCAAGTATTTCAGATAACAAACTGAAACTCAACTAAACGCATTTAACCCATTTGCATCATAAGCGCATATATGTGCGCATTTTGCCTGGCCACTATCACCAGAACGCATATATGCGCGCATTTTACTTAGGCATTTATCACCAAAGCGCATATTATTTATACCAGGCCTGTCCGGCGGTGGGGCCCCTCACGCACTTTTTTTTTTCTATAATTAGATTCCATTCCGTTTATTTTTGTGAATCTATAATGAAGTAAAAATTCTTTATTTATGCAATATTGATTTTATTTTTCATAATTTTGTAACATTTTCATGAAAATTTAAATACGGTAAAAAAAATTTTGGTGATAAGAACGAATTTTTGACTTTTCTTTGTGATGCAAATGGGTTAAACTAAGAATGAAAAAGCCAATACGAGCCGTTCCCAGGATGTTGTGCAGGAATAAGCGTGCATGTATACCCTGGCCGAGGAGTTTTTGTCGCAATATTTTCAAATTAGTTAATTAGAGGAGTATCCGGGATCTCTCATATATGAGATGCAAATCTAGCTATTCTATATGATTTTAAGAATTGAAATTTCAATTCAAAAAACCCACATGTAAAAATAATTTACATGTGAAAATTCATACATGTGTATATATATATATATATATATATATATATATACGAGTATACATGCACGCTTATTCCTGCACAACATCCTGGGAACGGCTCGTATTGGCCTTTTCATTCTTAGTTTCAATTTTCACTATTGATTCGTTTAAACGCATTTAGTTGAGTTAATAGTATATTTTTTTCTCAGTGTACCTTTCGCGAATTTTTCAAATTATTCAAATCGCATCGACTTGATTAATTAAAAATATTTATTTTTGGAAATGACGCGAACAACGCTTGCACCGTTTGTCATCCGCGAAAGCTTTTCGAGAGGTTCACGTTTTTTTTTACGTGCTCTCGAGACAAAGAAACAGACTCCGTCGTCACGTTATCCGACACGTGACGACGCGGAGAGACGTGTTCTTTTCCACGTTTCTCACTGATCGCGACGCGCTCTTTATCGCGATTATTGCTAATTTCCAGCTAAAGTGAGCTTCGTCGACGTGCCAACGGACACGGCGGTACCGATGGACACGGAAGCGACGTTGAAATGCGTTACAAGCAGTCGCGTGGAAAAATGCACCTGGATCTGGAAACCTCTTCACAGCAACGATCCCGAAATCGTTGTCGACGAATTTCCGAGCAACAGCGATCTAGGACGCGACTGTTCTCTTCATCTTCCGCATTTGAACGCGGAGAAACAAGGTTACTGGAGCTGTCAGGTGTCCATCGCTTCTCTCAACACCGTTCTGACATCGCCACCGGCCAAACTCACCGTCTACGAACAAGGTAAGACTGCATTTCGCGATTCAGAGAATTTAATTCTCATGTTTCTCTTTCGTTTTTTCAAAGCAAGTGTTCTCAATTACTTGCACACACGGATATTTATATTGGATATTTATTAAGGAAATATTTATAAACAAAACAATGTTTTTTAAGATATATTAAATTATAAAATTCGCTCGTAATATTAACAATAAGTATATGAATAGAAAATTCATATACTTTATTATACTTTATTTGCATTTTGTCTCTAAATAAAGATTTTTTTATTTCAAATTTTTTATTTATATTTTATTTATATTGGATATTTATTAAGGAAATATTTATAAACAAGTGTTTTTTAAGATATATTAAATTATAAAATTCGCTCGTAATATTAACAATAAGTATATGAATTTTCTATTCATATACTTATTGTTAATATTACGAGCGAATTTTATAATTTAATATATCTTAAAAAACACTTGTTTATAAATATTTCCTTAATACTTTATTTGCATTTTGTCTCTAAATAAAAATTTTTTTATGACAAATAAAACGTTTGTCATTTGTTAAATGTTAAATTTTATTTGAATTGTATTTGCGTTTTATTTAGAGACAAAATGCAAATAAAACGCAAATACAATTCAAATAAAATATAACATTTAACAAATGAAAAACGTTTTATTTGCATTTTGTCTCTAAATAAAAAATTTTTTAAGATCCATTAAAAGAGCTCGAAAAAGACCTTGTTATATATATTTTTCTATTCATATACTTAAGTGTTTTTTAGTTTTTTTTTTTTATTTTATTTCATTTTTTCTGTTTTTGATCTTTCGGTTTGCTTTCAGACGAGGTGAAATTTTCGGAGCTCTCGCAAGACATTCAGATCTCTTCCGGCGGCAGTGTTCTGTTGCGCTGCGTCACATCCTCCGCTGTGGAACAGTGCCGTTGGTCGCTCACGCCCGTCAACTCCAACACCACCGTGGTGGTAAAGCAATTTCCGGCTGCCGGAAACGAGGCTCGCGACTGCAGCGTGCGTTTGAGCCACGCTCTTGCCGAACAGGAGGGACTTTGGACGTGCGGCGCCAGGATACACGGCCGACAGAATTACACGGACGCGCCGCCCGCGAAGCTGAGCCTTCTCGAGCCAGGTATCATCGAGTCCTAAAAGTCCGGGCCCCGGTGTAGCGGCCCCCCCCCCCCCGGCTTCTCCACCAATTGACGGGTGAAGGGTGGAAGCGTCAAATTAATCGATCGTCCTGCGATTCCGACGTGCTCGGGCTTGGGCTTCGGTAAATCGTAGTTATAGTCACAATCTGGATATCGTTGAATTAAAAAGGATCCAAGGAAACAAAAATATATAAAAAGCAATGAGAAAAAAATGCGTAACATCAATTATCGTTGAAAAATTGCTTTTTCCAAGTTACAGACTTTAGACGCAACTACTTGTATTTTTTTTTTTCAGTCCGCTTTCTGGATCCTTTCTAATTTAGAATGTTCGATTGTACGACACAAATGTGTTCTCTCACATTGTTACGCAATCTCGGAGCACCATTGATCGCTGAAAAGAAGATTTTCGACTGCCGCTTTTGATTTCGCTTTCAAGATCTTATTTAATACTACATTATCTCTTGACATAATCGATGCGACGACGCTCTGCGCGAAGTAAAGTTTCATCAATTGTTTTTTTTCACGAGACGACGGCTCTGTCATTTAAAGAAATCGAACTCTCGCGGATATCGCGCGTTGTACCACTTGTACAAATTTTGCCTCGCGTGAGAAGGGTCTCGCGTGCGAGAGAAGCACGTTAGAAGGACGTTGCATATGCAACGTCCCCCCGTCACGTGTCACAAGGACCTCTCTCGTGTGCGGCGATTCGCGTGTGAAAGGACTCGTTCGTTCGCGACAGGTGCCCGCTTCATAAAACTCAAGTTAACTGGCAACAAGTTAACAGAAATTTTATCTGCAAAAAAGATCAATTATTATTTTATCTTCGTGATGATATGGACATATTAAACAAATCGTATCTACAATTTTAATTACTTTTGAAAGTAATTAATCAAGTTTTGCCGCGTGGAGTTTTTTTTTTTATCAACTTTGTTTTTAATCGAATTTCCGTCGAGTTTTTTTTATGAAACACGCGAGACTTTCGCGCGCCCAAAGCCTGGCTTAGGATCGCCTAGGTGCGTTCGATCGATTAAATATTTCTACAATAGTGCTTGCTATAATTGAAGAAAAAAACAAAACAAAACAAAACAAAAACGTAGGACACATATGTTGTATTATATACGTTTTAGGATCCGTGGCTGCACAGTTGCGACCGCTGTCGCAATCAGCCACTATCGTGAGTGCACCAAGGCGACCTGTACGTGAACTTTGCGCGCGTCGCCGCGTGTGTGCGTGTGTAGGTTTACATAAGTGTAGGCCATGGATCCTCTGACGCATGTCTTTGCAATCTGCGCTAGAGACGAAGCTTCACGGCACGAATATTGATTGGACGGCCCCCTTCTGTCGTCGTGAACTAATTACTCGGATATTAAGTAAAAAATTTAGTAAGTTACGAGTTGTGTGTTGCGATTAAATATGTTTTTTTTTTTCCAAATTACATCAACTTTTTTTTTATACATGTTTAACAGTTGTATGTCTAAATTAAGCGTAAGTTATTTTTTAACATTTAAATTGATTGATTTTTTCTAAATTTCCAAGAGAGAAGCAATAAACTCTCCGGGTTCTAATTTCACGAAACAAATTGTTTTCAGTCTCTACTTTTTACACAACATTATTTGAATATCCTCGTCAAGTAAGAGAGAAAAGAAGAAGATCAATATTTACGGAGTTGATTCTTACGACGATAACTCTTAATTGCGACCAGCTCTATGGCTATATATAGTCGCAGCCGTCCAATCGAAAGATTTATAAAAATGCATAAAACTCATCATCCCACATCTGTGTCGAGTGGCGAGGATCCGCGGTCGACACAAAGACGAAAAAACAATTGGGCTCCGCAAGGAAAGAAAAGCGAAAATTATATTCGCGGAATAATATCGATCCTGGATCCTCGCGAAAAATTGTGTCCCGAAGATTGTGTCGCGGGGTGAAAGGTGACGGATCTTGTGCATGTCGAATGAAACTTCATCATGTGTCACTCTAGATTAAAAACTTTGACGAAAGCGATGAGGAGAAATGTTTGCGAAAGAGTGTCGGTGGGCTCCGCCGCCGATGTGTGTGTTAAGAGTATCAATTGTGTGCGATATCAATTTCGTTGTATTCGAAAAACGTCGTGCGTGAAAATAATTTTTATAACACACGCTTGACTCTTTTGTTCTTCAACGCGCGGACAACGCTTATTGCAAGGATATTCGAAATTGTTTAGATTACGTTTGTAAAAAATTGTTCGCCTCAATACCGGACAGTATGTGTGTCTCATCGAGTATGATATATATTATAATAATAAAATGCTGCGTAACACAGGTGCAAGATACGTTAGATCATCATCTCAGCTTATCATTCGGCGGCATCCGTTATTGTTGTTTTTTTTTTTTTTTATTTTTTTTTTTTTTCCCCACGCGATTTTTCGATAAATCGTGCGATTTATCGAGTTGTTGTGCGCCGCCTCAAAAACAAACTACAACAAATTAACAATCTTGTCGGCTTTTCTCGTTATTCCCAGTGATTAGAAGAAGGCTTCGCAATCAATTTCCCCCGTCCTTCATTATTATTACGCAACGCGCACGTTAGCTCTGTCATTTCGAATTATGTAGTTACACACACGGCATGGTGTATATATATTTATATAGGGTGTCCGACAATTACTTTAACATCTCTCGTATAGGCAGATAGTAGGAGTAAAACTGAGTCGAAAAGTCCTGAACCATTTTTTTCTATTACATATAATAAGGGAGTAATTTATTGAATAAATCCAAGCCAATCAGCGCCATCAGACGTGTGGTTCACTGATGTGCGTTCGGCTAAAGGTCGGCGCTGATTGGCTTGATTTATTCAATAATTACTCCTTTGTTATATGTAATAGAAAAAAAAGGACTTTTCGACTCAGTTTTACTCCTACCTGCCTACGAGAGATGTTAAAGTAATTGTCGGACACCCTGTATATATATATATACATATATATATACTTATTACCATGGCTACATATTTTTTAACGCGCGAGTTGCGCGTATCTCGTCATATAGTTTACATTATTTATTGTAGAAAGTATTCATCTCTCTCCTGAGTTAACTTCGCGCCCCCACTACATCGCCTTTATTCCTCGAATCAAGGCTGACCATTCGTTTATTATTGATGTACTCGATTATCTTACTTTACGACTAGCCGCTAAATATTTAATGCTAAGTAGACAATTGTTTTTAGCGTTTAAGATCTTTTAGCGTCCGGAAAATTCATGTTCGCGACGAGAGTAATTATTCGCTCAGCTCGTTTATTGATATAACTCTGAAATATTTTAGAAATATTTTAGAAAAAGAAAACTTGAACTTTTTATTTTTCGACCTAAAAATTACAACTGCGATCAAATAATTTATATCAAAACACACGATTTTTATCTTTATATATATATATATATATATATATATAATAATCTCGAGCGACGATTTACTCGCTGAGCGTATGAATCTTCATGTGCCATTAAGTAATCGTTAAGATCCGCGAGATAATCGCGGGTTCTCAAGCATTTTTGAGTCTTCGAGTTGATGTAAACTAGTTTTTTTTTTTTTTTTTACTAAATAAATAGTAGCGAGAATGTTATTCTTTCCATTTTTATATATATCATCCCTGTAACTAACTACGCACCTATAATTAGATTGTATTCGAAATAGTCGAATTCTAGATCGCAATATCGAAAAATAATCCCGAGATTCCCCCCGTACACAATAAAGTGACAATTACCTTGACAACGGAAAGCGTCGAGAAGTAATGCAAGCGCTAAAGTTTACGGAAGTTATAGATTTTTACGAGAGTTTTATATTCTTAAAAATCATTTAGGGTAAAAGACTCGATTACTGTCACTTGGATAATAAACTCTGGCGTTAGCGAATTGTTTTTGCTATTTATTGATCAAAAACATGTGTTTTTCTTCTTATCTGGTATTATTCGATGTCTCTGATATAAGAAACAAAATAATACCGCCTCTCAAAATCCCTATTTTTATTTATAAATTTAATAATTAAAAAAGAACGAGAGCTATTACCGTCACCCCCTAAAATGAAAGAAATGAGACAAGAATGTCGAGTGCTGGATTTTTTATTATATTAATTGCACTTAAAATTCTATGTTAGATTGTTTTCATGCGTAACTTTTTAGGATTTATTTAATATTTTAAATAAAATAGCTCAGGGTGACGGTAATTGAACAGGTGACAGTAATCGGGTCTTTTATCCTGTATATTCAGTCAATTTATTTTCTGTGTCAAAATATTTGAATGCTCGGCGCTTATATTTTTCTCGAGTTTTCTCAATCTCTCATTAACGCACGCGAGATCTCAGCGCCGCACACTCTAACGTGATTCCAAGCGCTTATCAAGCCACGAAAAAAAAAACCATCGATGCACAAACGAGTGGTGGTTGGTGGTGTCAAAGTGGTGGTTCTCGTTCGTCGAATAATCCGCACCTGGTGGAGATATCTAGCGGCTTCTGAGGGGGTGAGTGGGACGAAAGAAATCAAAATGGCTCTTTGTGGCTCTACAAAAAGTTTGAAGTAAAAAAAAACCTTTGATTCCAAGAGGGATTTAAATTATTTATTTTAGAACCCGTCACCATTGCCGTTTGGGCCGCGCCGCATCAGATGGTCACTCTCGCTTGTAGAGTCGGATCTGTGTCGTCGGAAGCCAAATGTCACTGGATCCACGCCCCGAAGCTTCACATATATCAGAATTCCAGCAAGCTCGCCAAGAAGACAAGGTGTGACATTTTTTTCTATTTGTATCAGGTCTACCGGAAAGTTCTATCCGTTTTTTTTTTAAATAAAACAAAATACAAATTTTTCTGAATTTTTCAAAAATGGAATATACAAATTGCCCTCACTTGCTGGCAAGAAATCATTAATAATAATAGCAATTATATTACTTAATAAAGTTTATTGACGGTAAGAAAAATTTTGTATTTTGTTTTATTCCAAAAACGGACAGAACTTTCCGTCAGACCTAATATTATATTATATACGACTACGTAGAGAGCGATTGATCCCAGCAAACACAGAATATAACTGCTATATAACATAGAAGTGATATAACGTAATATAACAGCTGTTGTACTCTGTTAACATCGATGTTATGTAACTTTGTTTTTACAAATGTAACGTAATTATGTTATATATCTATTATATTGCTTGTTATATTAGCTGGTAATGACATTATAAATTTCATATAACATTTCTGTAACTATGTAACAATTATATTACATTCTACTTACAAGTTATATTATACCCTTACGAAAAAGAACTATTGCCGATTACATATAAATAAAGTCAGTAATATAAATATTACTGACAATCACACAAGAATATTATTAGGTATTACAGGAATCACTGAGAATATTACTGGCAATTACACAGAATGCCAGTAATTCTTTCGTACCACTGCCGCAATATATTACTGCCAGTAATTCTTTTTCGTAAGGGTATAACTGCAATATACGATAATTAGGAAATTACAACTAACATGGATGTTACATGCAACGACCATGTTACATTACTTGTTACATTTGTTTTATATACGACAATGTTGCTCTTGTATATCTGTGTTTGCTGGGTTATATTATACGACTACGTAGAGCGATTGATAAGTATCCGAAAACGACTATGAACAGCAGACAATCGCATCATTGTCTGCTGTCAGTTGACAAATTTTATCTTCTTAGAAGAACAAATCGACGAGATGTCGTTAACGTCCGATAACGAGCTAGCGTTTGACATTTGTTCCGAAGGGGATGAAACTTGATATTATACTATCTATGTCGTTTCGGATACTTATCAATCGTCTCTCACACGTACAGCTAAAAATTAATATTTTTAATACAGACATAATCTGCAAATGGATTATACCACGGGCATATGCAAACTGGTATTTAAACCGGATCATTCCGATCTGGGAAAATGGACCTGCAGATTCACGATCAGCGATGAGAATTCCGATATCGAGATAGGAAGCGCGACTCTCGTTCTTCTCAACACTTTGGCAGGTTCGCCGACACACGTTTCGTTTATCTATCTTGTTCCTTTGTAAACTTGTTATTTTAATATGTAATGTATATTCAAATCACAAATATATACAATCGTAAAAAAAAACAACTTATTTTAATATCTTAAATTAAATATTTCTCTTTTTTGTTCTTTGATACTTTATATCGCACAGACGAGAAACTGGGATGGATCGTGGGCGCGTTGACAGCCATGATCCTGTTTCTGATGATAATAGTCGTCGTGCTGGTGGTGTGCAAGGCGCGAATCTTCGTCCGCAGAACGCCCGAGATTCTTGAGACTTTACCACCCGACGAGAGAAAGCAGAGAATTTGCGACGGCAGGTTGTACAGTGAAAATCAGGGAAAGATCAATTTTCAGTTCGAGGACAGCAGCCGTGCGTCGAGTATCGAAAGTGTCTTGCCTAACAGAAGTCCGCGCGCGTACGATCGCGCGGAGAAACTTCACCGAGTATCGTCTGCTAAAGTGTACGAGAATGTTGGATTATAAATAATTGTACATAATTGTCAACATTTTCTCTTCCTTCCGTCAGTGCGATGTAAAAAGTTTTTCATACGCAGATGTTTTTTTTTTTTTATTTTGATAGTTTACTGTTATAAAACAAATAAAAAACAAAAGAGGATAATAAACAATTTGTAAAATCAAGAAACAAGAAAACTGCATACCCGAGAAAAAATGGATTAGATCTAATTTAAATCTAACGAGATAAAAAAATGGAGAAATAGAGATCTAATTAGATCTAAATTAAATCCTAAATAGATATAAAGTAGATCTAAATAAATCTAAATAGATATAAGTAAATCTATGGAAATTTACACTCTTTTATTTATTGTTTTAGATCTACTCAGATCTATTATATTAGATCACCTCACAGATCTGTTCAGATCTGCTCAAATCTAACTAAATCTGAGTAGTTTTAATACAGTAGATATGAGTAGATCTAAAGTAAAGATTTAATAATATATAAAAGTGTAAATTTAATAGATCTGCTTATATTTATTTAGATCTACTTTATATCTATGTAGATTCAATTTGGATCTAATTAGATCTATTTTTTCATTTTTTTTATCTCGTTAAATTTAGTTAGATTTAATCCATTTTTTCCCGGGTATATAAACATTAATATTTTATACACACGAAACTATTGTAGCAATTTTTTAATAAAATTATCATTATTATGTCGAGAGGTATATGTTACATTTCTATATTTCCCTAATCCTATTGGAGTGTTAATATTAAAATGAAAAAATGAATTAACAATTAATAAAGAATTTGAAAAAATGAATATAAACAATCTAAATAAATAGAGAAATTTCGTATTCTCCTTAGACTTACAAGGCTTTCACTTTCATATATTTCTTATATCTAAATTAAATATTACATCTTATTTCTTTATAACTTATACGAGTATTTACATCAATTACATGTCTCATTTTATGGGTTTGATCACAAAACTATACATTTATTTATGTAAAAACAACGTGTCGTAGCAAATATTTATTATCAATAAATGAAATTTTTTATTAAAAAAGTGCTTTTGTTATAAAAGTAGTAAGAATTAACAGAGATTATCACACTCCTTTTCTCACAAGACGATATAAGAGGAAATGTTTTACATGGTAAGTTGCAACTTTTTTATTTAAGAGCATCTAGCTGAGATTGAATTTTTTCCAAATTGTAATATATGTCTGTCAATTGTTTTTTGTCAAACTCTACCGTTAAAGTAGATGTCTTATCACCAGTTAGATCAAGTTGGAGCAGAGCTACGGGTCTTGCCTCTTTGTGAATTGCAGATGACGATGATTGAACGTTTAGACACCAATTGATATCCTTTACCTTAACAAATAAAACAATATGAAAATAAATACATGTATAATTAACAAAATATTTATCTTCGCAAACTCCTTTCACAAAAATACCTGAGTGGGAAAGCTAGACTTCTGTCTAAAATTCTCTACAATCCCCTTTCCGTAGGTCATCCATGTGTTTATAAAAATTGATATTTTTTCTTCATCTATCTTGAAACTGTCTTTCATAACAGATTCCATGACAGATGGCTTTGCAAAATTACACGCAGCTTGCGTATAAATTGATGTTACAGTATCTAATAAAAGAGTTAACTCATTTTTTGTCAGATCCAAAGATACCAGCAGCTTTTCTTCTTCTTCCTCATTGAATATCTTCGTATCGTTGCTAGACTGCAAGCTTTGACATATACGGTTGACAAGAAGCCGAAACTTGCTGTTGTCTACACGCGTTACTATCTTTAAACCTTGTTCCAATCTGGTAACAATAATAGAAACAAAACTTAAGTGCTTTAAACTATAATAAAAACAATTCATTGTCATATTTTATATATGTAAAAGAATTTCATTTACATACTTTGAAGTTATACTGATCCAAGAAGTCATCGCACTTGGTGTAACTAAACTCAATTGCCATGTAATGTTTTTCTCAGCTCATTTTCATTTGTGAAAATATAAAGTACTAATGCAAATTACTATATACTGTACATACACACGCACCACGTCACATGATTCGTATTAGTATTTAGGAAGCAGAGAGAGGAACCTCTGCGAAGAGACACAAACAATCTTATTGTGTTTTTGTGTGATCGTTTAGCTGGTACGCCAAAAGAGGATGATGGAACTACATGCAGCGACATCCATTTTTCAGACGTAGCTGGTATAATGTTATTTGGTTTGAGTCTGTGCTACATTCGCACATGATTGTAGATCGTTTACATACGTATAATGTAAAGAGATAACGAGAGATATACCTATTCTCACAACTCTCATCAACTCTCATCTTTTACGTCGTACCAATAAAAATGTCAGATGCTTATGATGCCAATTATGATAAGGTATAATCAAAAAGTATTTATTATATTCACATACATATTTAAGTTACTTTCTAGTGCTTTTTATTTAAAATTGATATACACTCACAGGAACATCCAAGAAATCTTATTCCAGAACTGTGCAGACAGTTTTATCATCTTGGATGGGTGACTGGCACAGGTGGTGGCATATCCATCAAGCATGAGTTAGTAAATATGACATGAATATTTATTGAAAGACATAATAAACATATGACATATTTCTCTGGTATAAAAATATTATGTTCTTTTTGCTACAGAGATAAGATCTACATAGCTCCTTCGGGTGTACAAAAAGAGCGGATGATGCCTCACGATATGTTTGTGCAAGACATCAATGGAACAGATTTAGAGTTGCCTCCATCCGAAAAGAAATTGAAAAAATCACAATGCACTCCGTTGTTTATGTGCGCCTATCTAAGAAGAAATGCGGGTGCTGTGATTCATACACATTCTAAGTTTGCTGTGATGGCTACGTTATTGTGGCCTGGGAAAGAAGTCAGACTCACTCATCTTGAGATGATAAAAGGTGTGTGGGAAAACAAAATCTCTTTCTAGCGAGAAGTATCTAAATTTTTGTTTATCATATTGAAACTAATAAAAACTCTTCAATAAAAAGGTATATGGAATCAAAAAACGGGTAAAGCATATCGATATGACGAGGAGTTGGTAATACCGATAATAGAAAATACTCCATTTGAGAGAGATTTGAAAGAAGACTTGGACAAAACTATCATCGATTATCCTGAAACTTGCGCCGTGTTGGTACGCAGGCATGGGATTTATGTGTGGGGTGATTCTTGGCAACAGGCAAAGACTATGTAACTATATTGTTTTCCTTTAATAATTAACTGAAAATACTTTCCGATGTAAACAATATTTAGCACGTCCTAAAGTTTTATCTCAATTAATTAATCGCATTTCTTTTTTGTTGTTTTTACAGGACGGAATGTTACGATTACTTGCTCGACATTGCGGTTCAGATGAAACAATTTGGGTTGAATTCACTGGCAACTCCAAGCGATTACGAATTGAAGTATCAAGAAAATAACACGTCGAAATAGACAGTTACTAATTTTGATAACAAAACTTGCCGTGCCATAAATTTATATATATATATATTTTTAAGCTATGTACACTGTCTGATATTGGAGTAAACTTTGCTTTTTATGCAAAATAGAATATTCTATTATTTTTTTAATAACGACTCGCGAAATAACACAACACATAACAGAGAAATTTTATTTTCTCTTCTCTCGCGGAACGATTTAGTGGCTATCAGTATAAATATAAATGTGCAGACGTTTTGTGAACATATGCATGAAAGAAAAAAATTAAAAACTACTTTAATTCATACAAGTATTTACACGAATTTACACATAAAAAATAGCATAGTTTTTGTGATGAAAACTTTTACATAAAATGTATACACTAAAAAGGACACGTAAAAATTTATTTAAGTATCTATATCAAATGGCGTGAATTGTTTTCGAATTTTCTTCGCTAGCTCGACCTCTTCTTCCTGACTCATGTGACAATCCTTCCAATCGGATCTGTCATTAATATCTAGTATTCTGTCGGATGCCAACACTTCTCTGCCAAATTGCAGTGGAAACTCCTTTTTGATCCTGTGAAATAACAATACTCCGTTTGGTAATTCCGCGTAAAAATACGGAACCCCGGGACTTGCGATTTGCTTTAAATCGGTGTTAGGCGGCAGTTCTATAATGGTGAAGTTATTACATTCAGCTAATTCCTAAAATAAAAACATAAAAGTTATTAAATACAACACGTTACAATACATCATGTGTTTTACAGTACAAAAAAACTACCTCAAACATCTCCTTCAGTCCAGGTACCAGATTCTTGTGAACGGGTACAGCTTGCAGCTGACAATGAGCAGTTTTGTAATTTCTCTCAAAAAACACGGGCAGTCTATCGGTACTTTCGAAGTACTTGGTTACAGCTTCCTTGTAAAGATCCATCTCGTCTTTCACATTCTTTGGTAGAATCGACAAACTCTGATGATGCGTTATAGGCAGAATCAAGAAATGATCGTCTACCAGACCACCCTTTGCCAACGCCAAATAGATTTCGGTGCCAACGGAAATTACCAAATGTTTGGACACGTCTGGACTGGACAAGCAAAACCAACACTTGGATTGATCGATCTCTCTTCGCGGTCTTTTATTGGAATTATTTTGATGCCGCGATCTCTTCTCTGAGCTGTCTTTCGAGTCCATATCGTAGAAAAACTGCATGTGCGATTGCTTTTGCGACGTTGGATCGTTGAATAGCAAGGACTTGGGATACGGACTCTGTGTCTCGTCTGTTGTTTTCATGATTAGATCCGATAATCTGGTTCTATCGACCGGAGTTAAATTCAATGCGTACAACCATTTTCTTTTGTGAGGATTCATTACCGGAGCCAAGGCTATGAATCTAGTACCTATTTCCATACTTCCATCGCTCTGATTTTGATTTCTGTAATAAAAGATAATTTTCAATATTCTTGCAAACTATTGCGTTACAAAGTTAAATATTTTATTGATACAAAGAAAATAATTTACCTGTACGGTAGTCGTTCGTAGTAAACTCCTTCTAAACCGGACACATGATATCTAGGTTTAATATGACTAGCGAGCCACGCGATCAAGGGAGAACCCTGATACTTGCATTCGGGGTTATTGGTGTCAAGATTAGTCACGCCATCGGGCCATGGAGATGTTAACAAGATATCCACACCGCGGAAACTTGGTTGGTCTCTCAAGCAACTGTTCTTAATAGACACAACATCATGTTTGTTAAAATGTATGGCTTTGTTCTCCTCTTCCTTTGATGATTTTTCAATTCCACTGAGATATACTATCTTGAGACCCGAACTGGCGGTGTAAAGACCGCGTTTTCCGAGATAAGTGAGATTCTCACATATGTCGGAACTGTCTCCCTCGGGATAACATTTTATGTCCGACTCTCGGTTAGGACCGATAATGTACGTCGGAACCGGAATAGCTTTCTTGCCAGATTTGTAGACTTCCAATTCGGAGTTGTCCGCGCCAAAGAAATTACCAACGCACAGCAGAAACTCAAACGAACCGCTTTTATTGTTGATAGCTTCCACTTTGGAGAAGAGAAACTTGAAGTGTCCCTCCACGTCTCCGCAAATAAGGACTTTCTGTTTGTCACTCATGTTTGATGACTTTGACTATATAATAATAATGTATATATCAAGTGTTTGGCAACAAAAAATGTGTTTTCTTACACTTTCTTCAATTACTTCCAGAACATATTTTAAGATACATAGTACATTTGATTGTTTCTATGTATTATTTTTTTATATAAGAAACTTATGTGTTGTTCAGCGAGATTTCAACACTGTTTATCACATTAATATTGTTCTTTTTTATGGTTAATTAACGTAACTTGTGCTTTAACAGATAAGGCTTTTAAGCACATGAACCAACGCTTCTTAATAAGTTAGGTTAGGTTAGGTTAAGTTAAATCATGGCTATGTAGTTACCAATGTGGACCACCATGAACATAGCGCTGGTGGAAAAGGTGGTGGTTTGGTTTGGTGCTCTTTTGGCTCAGTAGACCTATAAAGCTAGTCCATACGCCATTCTACGTCTTTTTGATAACAGGTTTAAAAACCGTGGATTGGGTTCCTGACGCCAATCCACGGAGTTGTACATTTGTTTAAATTAAAGATAATAATAAAGAAAGTGGTGTAAAACACCGACAATTGTCCAAAAATATTCACTGCGCACGTCCAACCGATATGGCTGATGCAATCCAATTTGCTGGTAGAAAAGGTTTGGTTTGGTTTGGTGCAAAATTGGCTCAGTGGACCGAATTAAGTTAGTCCATACGCCATTCTAGGATGCTGGTGGAAAAGGCAGAAAATGCCATAGACGTATAATATATATATAGACTGCGCGTTTGGCTGAAAATTATGTCTTCAACGTTGTGAGAGAGACAACGTACTTTGAATAGTAACTCTTTCTCTGTCTATCAATGTCTGTGGTGAGATCAGGGCCTACTGTTTCACACCACCTAACCTAACCTAACCTATCATCACCCCCTTAATCTCTTTCGCTCTTCTTCACCCCCACTATTTTTCTATCCCCACTTTTCCACCACTATTCTATCAATCAGCGAAGACTTATTTTTCCCCCGCTACTTCGCTAGACAAAGATGAGGCTACTGTTCAACACCAGCTGTCTCTCTCTCAACGTTGAAGACATTTTCTTAACACGGCAAAGGTTGGGAACGCGCTGTTCTATATATTACGCGTCTGTGGTTACGACACTGTGGTAGTGTTCCAAAATTCACTGCCAGCGCTAAAGATCTATAGTTTACGTCACATATATTATACAATTTTAGCACTGGCAGCGTGCTGGGTTACGTTCCAAAATCCTACCTTGGTTACTAAGATGCTATATTTTACGTCACGTGTACTATAGTTTTTGGTTATCAAGGTAGAATTTTGGAACGTAACCCTGGAAGTAAATTTGGAACGCAGCCTGTATCTCCATCGTCGCGCGTGCGCAGAATTGCGCGTGCGCAGAATTGCACATGCGCAGAATTGCACATGCGCGTACAATCGGTCCCGATAATCGGAACACCGATGCGACTGGTGGTGAATACCCGGCCGTAGTCTGAATAACGCAGCATGTTGAAGAGGGATCTCGTCTACGTTGGAAGCGTGATTCGTGGTAACGGGTGTGCGACGTAACACGTGTTAGGTCGGATACGTTTATTTAAAGAGAGAGAAGACGTAGTAGTTTCACTAGCAGCACGGAATTTTTCGTCACTGAAATCCGTAAGATTTATTTAACGATCACACAATCAAGCGTAATATCGACATTTGTTTACGCGACGGGCTCGCATCGTCAGTTTTCGTGTGCGTAATCGTGTTCGCGAGAATCATATATATCGGCCGCAAGAAGAATTTAAGTCGCGCAAACGGCACGACCTGGTACGCGCGAGACAACAGCAATGAGCTGGCACAAATTGCTGCTTCAACATTGGCTCAACGCGAGGCAACGTCAGCATGGTGCAAAACACACAACGAAAAAACGCGATCCTCGATCCCGTTGATTTATTATTCGATCGACGAAGCGTATGTGCGAACGATGGGAGCCCGTTTTGCGTCTTCGATTTGATATGTAATATCTTTCCTAACCCTGTTGTTGTTCCGCATAACCTCTATTGGCTCGCGCATAACATATTGTTTTATCACGCGCTAGCACGATCATCCGCGTTCCGATCAAAACACGACGACATTCGCGACATCGATACGTTCGATTTCATCAGACGAGACACGTGGATGTTTTTTTTCTTTTAGATATCACGGAGAAAACAAACAAACGTGTGTTTTGGAACAATTCCATTAGCTCGCCAGAAAAGTGGAACGCATCCCAGTTTTTGTTTCTTTTTTCTTTCACGTTCCAGCGTGATGGTTGGCAAAGTGGAAAAAAAAATGAATCACATTGTTGATTAAGATCGTTGACTCACCCTATCTATAGTGAGGAAGATCAAGACAAAAAAGAAATTCGGTTTACGCGAGAATATGGCGTTTTATCTTTATTTTGAGCCGTTAATTTTTAATTTTTTATTCTTTTTTTTTTTTACTCTTTAACCCCTAATCCAGTTTGGTTGCGAGAGACTTCAAATTCCAAAACAAATTCACGATATGTAAATAATTAGAAATAATAATAAGAGAAATTTTTATGTTTGTTTTTATTTACACACAGATTATAGCACCGATTAGTGGAAAACGTAGATTGTATAATTTCTGCAAAAGTGGAAACACCGCAGTTGCACTGTCAAGACACCAACAATACTTGCAAGAAATATAGGTCTTAAAGAATTCAAGTGCTGCGACAGTGCAGAAGGGCTCTATGTGCTCCACCAAGACTTGGGCGAATGGTACATTAATTTCCGAGAGCTTGCTACTGTGGTATCGTGAGAAGTGCATCCAGACAGTGTATAATCCAGGAATACAGCAATATGCTCAACGAAATCAAGGCGGCGGTGGTGTTCCTAGTAAACCTGATCGAAAAAAGCGAAAAATTTAGTCCCGATCAATTGGAATGCTTCAAGCGGCATCTGGTTGAATTGCTAACGGAACGTTTTAAGAACCATTGGTTTCCGGACAAGCCGTTCAAGGGCCAGGGATATCGTTGCATACGCGTAAATGGCCACAATCGTCGGGACGCTACCTTAGAGAGCGCCGCGAACGCCGCTGGAGTCAAATATGAGGATCTAAAACTGCCGGTTGAGTTAACAATATGGGTTGATCCCAATGAGGTCTGTTGCCGATTTGGCGAAAGCAAGGGTTCGTACTGTACGCTGGCGTCTTTTGACGACAAGGAGAACACCTTACCTATTTTTCAAAACGAACAAAACGAAAATACAGACAAAGGGAACAAACAAGCTCATATGGGGCCTACCAAGATACAGGTAAAACAAACTTCATTCGTTGCGATAATCTTTATATTTATATCGATTTGTTTAACACAGAATAACACATTTAGCAAACTGATTGTGAATAAAAACAAAAAAAAAAAAAAAAAAAAAAGGTTTCTGAAGCATGCTTGGGTCTAGAATGTAAATCGTAAATTCAAACGTTTTTAATAGATTTGAAATCTTTTCCAGATAAAGAAAGCTTAAAAAAAGGGGAAAAGAACACTGTGACGGCCTAAAACATATATAGGAAACTTTTTTGGAATTCTTTATAGTGTTTTAATCAAAACTTTTTATTGTTAGTTAAAAAGTACTTGGAGGATTTTATTAAAACAAAAACTTAGAGAACAATATTAACATTTTTAATATACAGAGTCGTTGCATTAGATTCGCGTCAAACAGCGTCTATAGATTCTAATTTTGCAACTGAAAAAAACTTGATAGCAAACAAAAAAAATTGAATGTTTATTTGGTATAAAATGTAGTTTTTTTTATACAAATTTTTTGTAAATCAATTTATAAAATGTATTGATTAATAAACAAATAAATAATCTAAACGTCACAAAGAAAAACCAAAGTTTTGTAGCTATATCTCAACAAAATTATTTTATATTACTAATTTAAAACTACTTTTTTATATCATTTTACATTGCTGCATAAATATTAAATTAGAAAATAGTGACTATATGAGAAATATTTTTAAGATGTTTTTTCACACAGCCACCGTAACACAAATTGATTCGAATTTTACTTTGTATCTTTTTTAAACAAATATCTTATATATTAATTCTGTTATGGAAGTTAGCGATATATGGTTTAGCGTATCAGGAAAATAAATGTGTCTTTTTTAGTTATATAAAAAAGTGCATGCATAAACTGATGTTAAATAACAAAATAAACAAGCAAATTAGATATTTTGAATCAACAGTATGTAGTCGATGTAATATTTGAAAGATATTAAATTTTTTTTTAATTAAATTTTCAATATTCTTCACAGCATTTTGCTGTGAAGAATATTGAAAACAGTTTTACACATGTTACAATTTATTATTTTCTTAATAAACGTCTTTAGGAAATGATTGTCATGAAAATGTGTAATTATTTATTACTAAAAGTATGTCGTTTTTTTTGTTTTTTTTCAGAAATCCCCTTTAACCGCTAATACAGAACAACAGCAGTCGAAATCAAAACCATTAAGCACCGCTAATCAAAATCAACAGTATAGCAGTAATACAAGTACAGGTAGAAGGCGTAATTTGAACAGTCCTAGACTGCATGTGAACCGAAACCGTTCATGGTTCGGTCACTCCTTTAGCATGGGTTATGGTCCTCATCCAATCAGCCAAACCTGGTATAACATAATGCCACCGCATTTTCTCGGCGGTCCTTCCCCACCACCGTTCATGGGACATCGAGGAAATAAGTGGATGCATCCGCCCTCTTACCCCGCAGGACCTGCTCGTTTTCATCACTGGTCTCCCAAAGCTGCTCTTAAGGTATAAAAACATCGCTAAAACAAAAAACAAAAAAAAAAAAAAAGAAAAACAAAAACAAACAGTTAAGAAACCTGTTTCTTCTTCAAGAAAAAATCGACAAACGAAGAAGCTAAGTAATCGAAGCTTGTTTCGTGAAAAATGCACATTGTTGCTTTAGCTCAAGATAAAATCATTACAATTGTACATTCATATAGAAACAAAATTTTCATATGGTTAATGAATTGTATATTTTTAAAAATATTTTCGACATATATATATTGCGTACAAAGAAAAATAGAATATGTATGTGTATATACATATGCACATATATATACATACATATATATATATACATACAAATGTATCTATATATATGTGTGTACATATACTTCTATAGAAAATGTGAATAAAAATTTTTATATATTGGAAACAGGTTTGTTAACATTTCGTTTCAGTGACGAAAATTATCCATCCTGTAATTAAAAATGATCTTGTTCGAAATACGACTAAGGCTTACGATTTTTTATGACGAACTACTACTGCATAAATTACATATAAATATGTTATGTGTATGTGTGTGTGTATATACACACATGCACAAACATATTATTGATAAATTGGAGTAATAGATGTTTAACTGCCGGATGCAAAATTGCTTGTAAAAATTAATAGACTAGCAACAACTTACAAAGTAGCACAATAATAAATAACACACACTAGCGTAAAAATGTGAATAGATCTTATATAATCAACGTAATTATTTCTTCGGTTAATTCTTGAGAAGTAAAATTTAAATAGATATTCGAAAAATGCGCGATATATCGGGAGAAACTGCTTGTCCGATTGTTACGAATTAAATTTTATATAAATTTTTTGTTCACGTTATCAAAATGTAAGTTTTTGAAATTAATTAAAAATAATTAACGTGTCATTTTTTGTTACGTACGTTGATCGTTGAAACGAGAAAGGAAAAAATGGCGGAAGAATAATTTCCAAAATTTTGAAACTTGATGCATAGATATTGCTTCTGATACAAAATAAAGTATACTTTGTCTTGTTCTCATTGTTAATGCTCTCGATATTCTGAGTTACGACACTTCTTTTCAACAAATTTTTCGAAGTTGCCTTACGAGTTACATGAAAATATTGCACAATGATCATTTAAAATATGCTTTATTTTATATATAATAAATACGTAAACATATATTGTTATAAAGCGAGCTATTTTTGCAAGCTGGGATTTTTTCTAGCAAACAGATTGCCTCGAGACTTTATACTTTATATCAAGTTTCAAAATTCTCGGAAACATTCTCAGTGTCATTTCAAGCTATTGCATTATTTGTTTATAATCTGATTTGAATTATAAAAGCAAAAAAATCAAGTTGTTTATTTCGATGTGACTAATGTATTCGTAATATATAGTAGGTTTCCATCTGCATATATTAGACAATATTATAAGAAGAATAGGAAGAGAACTTTTTTAACTTTCTTTTTTTGAATATCTTATAGTAATCGTTGTTTTTATTAATAAATTTGATTCTATGTGTTATATATTATACACATTATTGTAATCACTAGTGTAAGAACAAAATTCGTTCTACTTCCCGTGTTCTGAAGAATTACGAATGTATCTCGCTAAGTTTTGCGCTTGGAGACAAACATCCGCGACGCTTGTTATATTGATGTAATACAGATCTTTATCTAATCTTATTAATGTTGTTGTTAGATTCAGATACATACGATTTGATTGTCATATGTGCAGTTAGACAAACTATTATTTTTTTGTCACGTTGGAGGCGTAAACGAGGCGCGCGCCAAATTTATTCTGACAAATTATACACACTATTTTTATTCTTACTAATGTTGCGCTCACGTATCAGTTTCTTAACAAAGTTCACGCGTTGGAAAAGAACCGTTAATGCGAACTTTACCATTTCCGTGTTAATACATATTTGGCCTTCTAGAGAGAAAATTTATAAAAACACAAATAATATGTATGTGTATATATTTATATATAATGTATACACACATATGTATTTATAATTATTCATATATACGTTAGCTTCACAGATAATATGCATGTGTTTTTTGGTTCTATTGTTGGTATTATCACTTTAAATATATATACATATATATATATATATTTATATATTTATATATTTATATATATATATATATGTATAGACGTGTAAATATCGCTAGTATATGTTACGTGCCACGTGAACCATTGGCAGAAAACGTATTAATGAGATTAGTACCGAAAAAATGTGATTTATTCGGTTAATTGCATAAATTATTCTTCAACATTAATTATTCCTTCGAGAGAATTGTATTATGTTTGTAGAGTGTATTAGTTTGTCGAGAATTAAGGATTTTTAATTTTTTTCATCGCATGACATGCAATAAAGTAACGTCGGGAACAAAAAAATCATTTACATAAATTCTCTAGCTTTGCCTTCGATTTACGTCGAAGTAAATTAGATTTTTTGTATGCTAGTTTTTGACTTTTTTGCTCCGACGCGAAGTGCAAGAAGAAATAAACTACGCAGCAAGAAAAAAATACTCTTTTTAGTTCTTCTTTAATCATGCAAATTTATTATTATATAGTTGAAGCTTCTATTTTTAAAATATCTGTAAGTAGTAAAATTTTTTAATATTTTTTAAAGTTATAAGTTGATTTTACATAGATCGTGTACTTATTTTTATATAGATCGTGTTTGTAAGTGTACGCATTTGTTGAATTATTAAGTAGAACACAGTTAATATTTGTACAAATATGTTTAGTACCATATATATAATATATATATATGTATGATACATTTTTTTTTAACTACATCACATATATTAACTTGTTATTTTACTATACAGTTGTTATTTTACGTTATTCAGAAATTCATCACAAATAAGAAATATAAGTTTTTACCTTTCAAGTCTCTTTCAAGTAGCAAGATATTAATGTTTAATGGATTATAAAGAAAGAATAATTAAATCATGGTTAAAGAAACTTTATTAGAAAATAATGAACTTTTAAACTTTAGTATTTTCGATTTTGGTATTTGATCTGCGAAATGCCTCCCCTCCCAAAAAAAAAAATCGAGAAAACAATCAAGATTTGCAATTTGTTGTGCAATGAATAGAATGTAAATTTTCTTGAAGGAATAACTTATGTTATATGAAACGAACAATCGCAAATGTTATCTGTAATTTAGAGCAGAGTTTTTCAAAAAGCACAAGATGCATGTTTATCGTGTATTAACCGATGACAGGAAATAATCTATTTAAATATATTTTTGAAACCCTATCACGAATGTTTCTGTAATACGTAAAATCACTTTAAGAGTGATTGGAGAATACATTACATTTAAAGAATACATTTTAAAAATAGATTACATTTTAGATGACATCTCTCGCATGCGGAATTATCGCTTTGTTGCTGAACACATAGTCTCATGCTGAATAGTCTTTATACAAAAATAGAGTGGAAATTATAATTCATACATGTATTATATAAAGAGAAATCGTAAAAGATAGACTGCAAACAACACTGTAATCGAAACTGTACTACTTTTCTCGTAATCACAATTTTACTTAACGGAGATGCACTTTTGTTTCGTTATACATACCCTATATTAATTTGACTTGAACAAAACCAACTCTCTTTTGATCAAATAAATTATATATAGCAAGTATTGTTTCCGTTTGATTTATAATTAGACAATTATACACAATCCAATTAACAATAAGAATGTTTTTAACAAGCAATATATATCGATATTTGAATAAAATTTTAATCTTGTAATAAACTAAGCAAAATAAAAGTTTTGCATCTCCCTGTTGTGATAAACGGAATAAGTGTAAAGTGGATAAATCTTTTATAACGTTTTTCCGCAATTTTTGTTTTTACGATTAGTATTGTTCACTAAATGCAAGTAAATTGCCCTAGTGTAGAAACTCTTGTGTTCAGTTTGTTAACATTTATTCAGAGAACAGTTATGTTGTTGTTAATATGAAAAGTCTATAAATAGATTTATATATTATATGTATACATATAAAAACATATTACAACGTATGCGTATATAATAGAAATAAGCAATGTTGCATTCGGACATATTCTTTTATTAATATTCTTGCATATAGAAATTATATATATAATATATATAAGAGCACATATGTACATGTACATATATATATGTATATGCATCATATATGTCGATATATATGTATATACTATATATATGTATATAAAAAGAAACGCTCAACATTTGAAATGTTCCAAACTGTGTTCAAATGTAGGAGAAATTGTGAAGCCGAATGCGACAACGTACCTTTTCTTAATGATAAGTAGGTAGTCAATTAATATATATATATATATATATATGTGTACATATATATGTGTGTGTATATATATATATGTATATATATATACACATATATACACATATTATTTTGTACGGAAGTTGCGGCGATTATAATCAAGAATAGAATGCAGCGAACAAACAAACGACTTAATACTTTTTTATAGAAAATATGTGAATGCGATACGCGAAACAATTAGAACGAATATTTACTACATAAGCGAGTAACAGTGAAATAACTGTGAAATCAACAAAAAAAAAAAAAAAAAAAAAATGTACTTATTCCACTCTCATCAGAATTTTAGCACTTTGAATCCGAAAGTGTGAAAGCCTCACTTTATTTGCATTTGGTTTTCTGCTGAAATAATCTATCTAGAATATAGTTGATTTTATATAATTCATATACTGTTAAAAAAACAACCGGACAGAAAATGCAGATTAAAAAATGCTATGTGTGTGAGCGTTGGATTCCAAGTGTTAAATCGCGCTGTAATAAAAATTTATACACATCAGTGGTTTTTCTACGTCTGTCTAATCGATATACGCGATTTGTTAATTTGAATCTCGATATCGTTAAAGCGTTTTCCTCAAAGAAAGAAAGATAAAAGAGAGAGAAAGAAAGAGACGAGATCGTATTTCACATTTTCCATGACACGTCGAATTTTTTTTTTTTTTTCCGTAACGAAATAAATGGCCAACGATTTTTCCTGTTTGTCGCGCGAAATATTTGAAGAACGTAATATTAATGTTTGGATCATTTCGATTGTAGGGTAAAAATACTATATATTATTATATAAAAACACAAAAAAAATATAATATCCATTGCTGTGTCATACGTTGTAAGGGTATTTCTTCTTGCGTAACTATGCAATGATATACTGTGACTCTAGACGAATGTTAAGAGAAACGGTTCAATTTCCTTCTAGCAACACAAACATTTGTGATAAAATGATGATAAAAAAAACTTTATAAAATTGACTTTTAATTGTACATATTTGAAAAATCTTTGTAAGTAATGTAAATCAAATGTTGATTTATTTTATTTTCAATCAAGGAAAAATTACAATTTTATTTGTTAAAACTACTTATACATATACGAACGAAAACTTCTGTTGGCTAAATTTGTAAATAGTAATTTGAAAAGATGTATAAATTTTGTTTTGCTTTTTTAATTGAGAGAAAACGGATAGAAACTATTGTAATGAACTACAATAGGTTTTATTCGTTCTGTAAATTAATAATCGACTAAACATTTGTTGTTATTTAAGTAAGACTGGCGAGTGTATATTTAAGAGAAAAAAAACTTTCTTTTAACAATCTATAAATGAAGTATATCAATTGTTCTTATTAAATGACAATTTAAAGAAGGAAGAAAAGCCGTTGCTTTTTAACGTTCTGCTCTGCATTGTACGGCTATACACTAACTTTCGCATTTTTCAATAAATTGAAGTATAATATAGAGCTCTGTTCGATATACTTTTGTCTCGTGTTTACCTGTAATAAAAAATATTATCACATTGGAGCAACGTTCGAATTATCTGTAATATATTGTATCTTTGTACTTTTAAAACATGTGGTTCAATTTCACCAAACCAAATAAGAACGTACGACTTTGTCGTCGTGTTTATCAATCAAGTTTTTATCTCCTCGAACGCGTTCGTGTTCACGTGGCCAGGTATATATAAAAGTAGTACTTTAAAACAATTTTTCGATTAGAAAGGCATGTCAGCGCTTCTCACTTTTGCTGTAATGCGGGGTGACAATGATTGGCGGAGTCACGTAGGACTTCGAATAACTCGATCCTACCTTGCACAGTAAACTTAGATAAGTTTTTTTTTTTTTTCTGTCGCGTCTGTGTAGTCTTATAATGTAGCATAATTTGTAAACCGCGGTCTGCGAAATTGAAGGCGTTACAAATCTCACTTAGAGATCTCGTCACGCGCAAGATATGGTTTTTAAATAGAAATTTTTTACAGACTAATTATACATGAATGTAATAATGCGATATTTTCCAAGATAAATGCTTATCAGATGGTTTGTTAATCCATAAAATCATATTAAAAAATTAAAGGGCAAATCCCTATTCTTGTAAATAGCTAAATTTGTTAGCTAAATTTGTAAATAATCAATTTAAAGCGGAACAAATTTTATTTTGTTCTTTTAATCGAAACAGTAAATAGTATATATATATATATATTTTTTTTTTTTAAATTTAAATATATATACGTGAGAAATATAAGTGAGAAATTACAATTCTAATAAAAGAAAGAAGATTATTGCATTTTATTATTGAAAGTTAATGATAGTTTGTTTAATTTAGTTGTAATAACAATTTATAATATAATTAAGGATTATACACATGTATCTTTAAGCGTTATTATTATAGTTTTATTGCTAATATCGTTGGAAAATATCGTGATATCGCGTTAATAGCACTATTACTCTAATGGTTCATTAAATATTTACTCTTTTTACTTTTAAGATCTCATAAATATGTAACATATATATACAATATGTACACACATACATGTACAATTTTGCTTATACTACCATATTCACGTTACAGACATGTATTTTTAGTTGGTAAGAAAAGAAAAAAAAAATCTAATTTGTGTAAAACAAAGAAACATATATAATTGTTTAAAACGGTGTTTGTGGTGCCTTTGTTTTTGCAGTCTGCATCAGAGTTTTAACATTGTTGTCGATAGTGTGATTGTCCGATCAGAACAAGCGCTCGACCATTGTCGTACCTTGTATATATACATAAAATATATCAATATATTACAATTATATTACATGTGCAAACACAAAAAGGATTGTTCAAGAAAGATTATACTTTTAAGATTTTTGTTAATACGAATATATTCAATGATATATCTGCTTTCTACTTTGCATTTTCCTCTTACTAGAAACTAACTAAAAGTTTATATTAGATTCGAAGATTTTTTTTTTTTTATAACACACAATATAGTATACGTATATGTTATATTGAATGTAAAACTTGACTGTTTCAGATTTGATTCAATTCACATAAAATTATATTTCGTATAAACGTTTAGTAGAGTTTTGAGATCGCAATAGTTACAATCTACTGTTATATTTTCATGTAGAGTAAAAAGAATTTATAAATCAATAAGAATGAACATGTTGTGCACTTTTGAATTCTCTCACGCGTTATAAATATTTATTTTTCAATTTTTCCTATTCACAAAAAGTTTTTTAAGCAAAAAAACACTGGTTGAACTATGTTCAAGATATTAGAAAAATTGTGGTAGAATATTTGAAATGTGATTTTTGTCTTGCAAGATTTTTGTCCGAAGATCAAAATGAATGCCGCACTTTTTTGGACACATCCCATATGTGTATTTCTTCTAAATTTAATTAAAATTCGAAAAAGCAAAACAACATGAATTTTGATTAATCAGTAAAAAAGCAGTAAAATTAGCTTGTTGATGGAACGTTTATAGAAAAGTATCTTCGATTGCATTTGTAAAACTAGCGATCGATCCACTTGCGATTTATGTGCGTATGATTTTAGAGAAATGTAAATTACGGTTTTTTTTTTTCTATATATACAAAAGCCAAAGCACACATACATACTTTTCGATTAGAACGAGTTCTCAAGTATTCTATTTGACACAAATATTGCGAATATTTAATGTTATTATGATTGTATTAACGCCATTAACGACTTATAATTACATAAAATCATGTATGGGGATATAACACACATTTAATAAATACTTTTGCAAATCAGTCTGCACAATTTCTTTGCCTCATTCTCTTCCTTCGATTCGATCATGTTAATTGAAAAAGTATGTATACTTATCTATAAAAGATTAAAAAAAAAAAGATAATTTTTGATACGTTGTATGTACGTTGTGTTATATGTAAAATTTCTAATAAAGAATTTTATATTTAAGTTACAATTAAGTTACATTTGTTTTATTTGCGTTATTTATTAATGTATATTTAATTTATATCATTTTATCTTATATTTATATATATGTATTTATGGGATATCTAGCAGTTCTAACAGAGCCCGTTTGTGTTTAGCTCGATGTACACGGCGGCATTATCAAAGACGCTCGTGCTGGCTCGCGCCGCGGCGGTAGACGTCGAAACGACGAGAAACGACAGGTGACGGACTACGGGAGACGAGGAGAGACGTTTCTAAGGCTTTTTTCAGCAATTAAAAAATGTTGGACATTTTATCGCTCGTCTCGCGAAATTTTTCCTGAACGCGTATTATTATCGTCGCGTTTTTTAATCGCGTGCACATTTTTTTTCGTATTTCACCGTCCGTGAACGTCGAGGAAAGAAATTGGGGGTTATGAGGCACCAACGGCACTGTCGTAGTGGTCGCGCCATCGGACGATATTTTTGCATTATTCCCGAAATCATTTCCAGAGGATTGCTTAACCATGGCGGAGACGTGCAAGGTACGTGCGACCGATCGGACGAATTTTTGTCGCAACTGCGACCGCGGTGACAGTCGGTCGCGGAAAAAAACCTGCCAACGTGGCGGACAGCTGACGCGACAGACGAGAGAAATCTCGATATAAATAATACAAGAATGACTTAGCTCGTTAGCACATTAGTATTTGCAATCTGATAGAATTTAAGTCTTTTTTTTATTGTTCTACACGCTGTGTTTCAATTAATTATTGACAGCAGACAGACTGACGTGACTTCACGTCACGTGCGACAAGTTGACAAATATCTGTCACGCGTAAAAATGCTCTTTTTTTTCTCTCCCTTTTTTCACTTTATATAGGTATGCTTCAGCTTCTTGTAAAGAAGTTAGTTTTTTTTTTTGCGTATCCCATTCGCGCTTCAGATTATGCGGATTATCTTTTTATATTCTTCGTGTTTTTGTTAAAACGTATTGAATGACAAAAAAAATAATGTGATTGAAGAAAATTTGTACTGTATATAAATATTACATCGATATATTAGCGAGTTGTAATTTGCAATGAGAAATTTGCACAAATAAATGTTTAATTCAGATTTGCTTAATTTGATATATGCAAATGTTTTAAAAATACTTTTTACATTCATGTCAGAAAAGATTTGTTTGATATGTATATATTTTTCATTAAAAATATTGTATATACATTGTGCGTGCACACATTATACATGTATGTAATATATAAATATACTTGCTTTTGATGCAAATAACGATGATCTTATTGTATTTATGAAATGAAACAACAATGCTGTGTGAAAATACAATATGCAGCGTTAGGTGTGCGTATTAGCCAATTTATCAAAGTAAATGTTAACACAGGAATGTGGCTGTAAGTGCGGAACTTGCAACCAAGACAGTCAGCAGCAGTGTGACATGCATTTGCATGTGGAGATAGAGAACTTGCGTCAGCGTCTTCTCGAGAGAGATAATCATATTGTAACTATGGAAACGCAATTCTTAAACGAGGCTGATAAGTTTCCAAATGGAGAACTTGCTTCTATGAAAGAGGAATTATTAATATGGCAGGAAAAATATTCGCGTCTGCACGAGGCGCACAAGAGGATTCAAAAAGTCAATCAAAATCTGGAAGATAAATTGCTACGAATTGTAGACAAATGTGAGACAGAAAAAGGTGCCTTTACAAAGGACATAGCAACTCTGTCTCACAGATTGGCAGATGCTAATTACACAATTCATCGGTTAACACAAGATAATGTAAGTACATACTTTTTTTTTCATCAACTTTAGACAAAATTTCGTTATTCTATTGAGTTGTTGTTAATTATACTTTAGCCAAGCTTTATTATTTTTGGTTATAAATAAATAAAATATTATACACATGTACGCGGGATGTCCGTATTATACGTATATGTGTATATTGCTTCTATAAAACGTTCATTCTTTTAGGAAAAATATAGAAATGATGTTAATTTGGCTATCCAATTGCTGCAGTGCAAACCTTCGAATTTTGTTGGTCAAAAATATGACTCGGTAAGTATTTAATACTGTTTTAACAGACTTATTGTGTGTGTCGCGTTTTAGAAATATAAATAGAAATATAATTATATATTTATAATTATATATTATATATAGAAATATAATTTTAGAAAAACTAGAAATATAAATATATTTAAAATTGGATCTTTTATTATTGTATAGCTGCCTTCTGAGATGCAAGCTAAAGTGCGAACGTACGTTGCGCAGAAGCGATGCTCCGCGCAAGATGCAACGCAACAGGACATGAAGAGCATCACTGTGCCGATATCTACGTTTCCGCCAACGGCAATGGTGTACAATATCACGAAGCCGACAGTGGATAAGCATAGCGATGACGATAGCGACGACGAGAAACCGGCAATGGATGTCGTATCGGCAGCCATTATGGCAAAAGTGTTGGAGGATCGCGAGAAGGAGAGAATTTTTGCCAAACACTGCGACACGTGCACGTGTCACAGGAGTATCCTTATGGTGGATGCTGAAACGCAAACATGCGTACCCAACGCGCCTTCCTTCTCTCAGGGACATACGTACAATATTGACAAGCAGACATTGGAAAATATATTGAACAATGAGATCCATCAAAGCAAAGACAAACTCCAACCGAGCCTCGCAACGCACGCGGTCTTTTATGAAATCAACGAGAACAGCGATAAAGTTTGCCGTCAGATGAACGGCGACTGTTCCAAGTATGCCTCGCAGCCTATCAAGGACAAGTTCGTCAGCAGGAGCGGCAGAAATACGCAAGACAGTACGACGGAGGATAACTGTGCAACTTCAAAGACCAGCTTGAACAAAAAGAATTCGTCCCACGACAGCAAGCGTTCGCCATCGTTCTCGAAATTAAATGATCTCAATAGAATAAACAACGATAAGGCGTCCAAGAATCAGCTCAGGGCGAATAACAATAAAAACTGCGATTCTTCAGATAATAGATTCGCTACGAGATGTTGGAACAAGAGTGATAAAAGTTCCTTTGTCGGTTCGATTTCAGGTTCTGACAACCGACTTTCCGACAAAGAACAAACGCACATTGATATAATTAACGATAGGTTATGGAAAAACGAGTGGACAAAAATGAGATCGGAGACAATTGTCATGAGAGAGAATAAATGTAAAACGAATCGCAATATTGAGATTGACATTATCAATGATCGTGATTGGAAGAACGACAGATTGACAGCGCGGAACTCAACGCAGTTCACTCTAATCGAGGTCAAAAGTACGGACAACAGCGCAGCGAATCACAACGACGGCAGTCAGACAGAAGCGACCAGTCCGAGCTTCAGCAGCGACAGCATGGTCATCTCTAGCTCCGATCCGTCCAGCAGTTGTAGCGACGTCGCACAATCTCTGACCGGCGGCGCCTTCAACTCTAGCGCCAAATCCAACTCGAATCAGATTCGCGTGACCGGTCCGCGAAATTGCCTGATGCGCGTTACTCCTGGCTCGAAGAACATCCTGCTGGACAACGCCGGGCATTATAAGGCTGTGGTGTACAGTAACGGTAGCAGCGGCAAAGCCAATACCGCTTTGGTTCACGCAAAGAAAGGATCTCGGGCAGGATCTGAGCGATCAATATCCACCAGCAGTGAAGACAATTTGCCACTGGTGCTGTTGCAGGACAACCACTTGCAACGTGTGGCCGAGTGGGTGCAATCGTCAATGTACGTGGACGATCTCACGCAATTCAATAGCAATAAGATCAAGTGTACGGAGAACATCACGAACGACAATTCATCGTCAGTATATCCGATCGATCCTTCGACGAAGTCTTCGGAACAGGATATTCTGATTCGCAACTTTCGAGACGCGTCGAATAACTCATCGAAGAACGCTGAGGAATGCAGCAAAAACTGTGTAAATAACAAGCTCAGCAATATTAATTCTTTGCCAGATTGTACGGAACACGACGAGAGCGAGAATCTCATAATGTTTGAGGTGTCGGAAAAGCAATTGTCAAAAGATTCTCGCAAGAAGGATCTAGATTACGAGGTAAAGATCACAAAGGAGATGGAGGAGACGTATCTGAAATTGGCAGCGAGTTTGGATCCCGTTGCATTGAGTCTGTCGAGCAGCACCAGCGATGCCGAATTAACGATTGAGAAATACAGAAAAGATAAAAGGCTTCACGTACAGAGAATCCAAGACAAGGCGGGATCAAAAACTTAATCCTGTATCTCGCGAATTCTTAAAAAAAAAAATAATACTATATCAAGCAGGGAGTTCCTTTAAAGATAACAGAGCGTTATTTTTTGTAACTATATTAAAGTAAGGCTGTATCCTCCTCTCCCCAGTAGTATAGAAAAAAAAAGGAAAGTTTATCTTACACGCTGCTTACAGATAAATCTAAGTTTTATTTGTGAGTTTAGAAAAAATTTGCAAGTTGATTTTAAGCATCTTTATGCGAGATAAAAAATTTAAGAGTCGATTCACAAAAATATAGTCATGATAAAATCTCAATTTCGCCAGATCTTAGTTTCCGCGCAACTTTGTTTCCGGAAGCCCTTAATTCAAGCAAAATTAAATGCAACACACATTGATCGATATTAATGTCCAACATAAATAATCATTAACAAATAACTTCGAAGCACTAGTATATGTGCTATATGTGATTGCGATATTCGTATCACGTAATATTCTTTTCTTACAATTTATGAAAGTCACAAATAATTTCAAAAAACAAAAATATTAAAAACGTATAAAAAAAATTTTAATATTAATTTTATATTCTACATTTGTTCGCTTATCAAATGTTTTCAAATATCTTTAGTTGCATATTAATAACGTATAATAATCATTACTTTCATAATGTACACATGTATAGTTTCGTCAATTGTTTTTAAACTTGATTCGAAAAAAATTGTACATGATGAAGCATAATTTTAAATTACTTAAGATTAAATTACATAATTTTTACCTTAATATATATTATTATCACATCGCGATATTAAGACATGCTGTGCTGCAATAAAATTTATTGTTCATTGTCGATATTATATATATTAATTTTCTCCTGCGAGATTTTTATTCAATGAATTGATGTTAAACTATTTATTTGTCTGACTATTAATCTTTTTTCGTATTAATTTTATTATTTATTTGCGCGTTTAACTTTATAATTTAAAAAAAGATAACATTAATATTGTGTTATACTTAGCTTTATGTACGAATGTGAATACACTCGAGATTAAATAAAAAAAAAAAAACGACAATATTATATTTAACTTGATATTATATATAATTAACTATGAAAATATTCCAGCAGACGTGTTAGTTTATTATATCATTGGTATTAATATATTAATTTAATGATGATACATATTGATTTCATCTCAATGTTATAAATATTCATGTTTTTTATACCAAAGCTGTCACTTGTGATAAAAAAAAAAAAATTCTTAATTCTTTGCACTCACAGAGTCGTTCTCAAAATTATGTCCCGTCGTACCAGTAACAATTATCAAATTGTTTCGCAAACACACAAATTTATTTGAATAAGCGCAATTAACAAAAACACATACATAGCTTTTACGCAACACAATGTTAAAACCTCTCAGTTGCGGACGACGTAAGAGTGCAAGGTTTTAAAAATGACGATCAATTATTTACACCTCTGTCTTTTCAGCCCTTCTATCAACACATCACAAGTGAACGTAATTTTTAGTGACATATTACAATGTTATATTACGGATGTCTGCTATTTCGTGATCTAGCGAGGACGTGTGTGTATTATTTGCCATATCAAAATTATAAGTGTACATGAAGATTTATCAAGAAAAAACATTTTTATAATCTGTTTAATGACGGGCTTAAAGGATTAAGAGAATTTGCGTAAGTTAATTTATATATATATATATATATATATATAAAATTGATTGATTATGCATTGTGTAGTCGAAAGTTGCTTCCACTTTAGCAATCATAATAAGACTTGTCTTGTGCTTGACAAGAATATCGTGATAGCTTAATAAAAATAATTGCTTGATTTAATTCGTTATTTCGATCGCGCGTCACTTGCCAATATACATTAACGTGCATTTTTGATGTGACAGTAAATACAATTAACGACATAAGTAATTCGATTTTTAGCAATACCAGATAACACGGTGACTGTCCAACAAATATGTCTCTTACCGTTGTAATATTTTATATGTCTTATTGTCAATGTCAATGATAAAATTTTCAGTACACCGTAATATTTAATTTCAAATATGTATTGTAAAAATAAAAATTATATATAAATTGTGTAATGGTGCACTCTTTGTATTTTGTACTCTGTCTTTGTAATGATGATATATATTATTCAGAATTTTTACAAAAAGAGAGAGTTAGGTTTACATAGATATATATGTTGCAAATATTTCAAATAATCTCGACTTCTTTAATATTATTGGTCATTGCTAAGTTCCATGACAGAGAGAGTTAATGTGTTAACTAGGGTAAAAGACCCAATTACTGTCACCCGAATAATAAACTCTGGCGTCAGTGAATTGTTTTTACTACTTATTTATCAAAAACATGTGTTTTTCTTCTTATCTGGTATTATTCGATGTCTCTGATATAAGGAACAAAATAATAACCGTCTCTCAAAATCTCTATTTTTATTTATAAATTTAATAATTAAAAAAGAACGATGCGAGAGCTATTACTGTCACCCCCTAAAATGAAAGAAGAATGTTGAGTGCTGGATTTTTTGTTATATTAATTGCACTTAAAATTCTATGTTAAATTGTTTTCATGCGTAACTTTTTAGGATTTATTTAATATTTTAAATAAAATAGCTTAGGGTGACGGTAATTGGACAGGTGACAGTAATTGGGTCTTTTATCCTAATTTTAATCCAACGTCTTTGATTTTCTGAGGAATTTTATTTTTCGTTAAAATAATAATTTAATATATTTATTTCAGTTGTCTTTTTTATATTCGAAAGCAGTAAAAAAAATGGTGCTACTATGTATAACAGAAAAAATTTTGAAGTATTTAATTTTCTATAATTTTTCAAGCATTTTTTAGAATTCGATGTTTTAGAATTTGATTTTCAGTAAATTGCCTTGTATGAAACTTTTTGTGTACTGCGTGAATCGTGTGTGTCATGCCGAGAAACGTATCGGTGCGCAAATTCTGAGATACGAATGCGGTAGTTCATTGCTAGATAGCAAATATATAGTTAATAGTGCGTCACGCGAGGAATATCTATCCTCTTATGCGACTACTTGCCTTTTTCACTCAGTTTTGCTGCAATTAATTTAAAATAACGTATTTAAATAACAATTAATCAATTAACCAATTTATAATAATTGGAATGTATACATATAATATCTAGAAATATATTATTTTTTAAATGTAATTTTACAAAAGTTATTTAAATGTATTTTTTTCCAGAAGTTTCGAAACAACAACACGCAACTAATTTATTTTTATTTTATAATTTTAGAAGTCTCTCATGTGTTTGTAAGTACACTGGCAATAATGCTTTGTGAGAACGATTGATGCCAATTAGCTGGCACTAATTACCACACACATCTCAATCGTGTCAGACGTGGGTTATGTTATATTTTCACGTAGCATTCTTTCAATGATTTCTTTATACATTTATAAGCAATTTGCACAGAGAGCTTCTCGAGGAAAGGATTAATTTTTAAGTAAAATCACAATTGCGATATCTACAGCGAATTAATGCGCGAGTTTAACTACTCTACATCGAAAAAATTGTATTCTTGTTTTGAGGAGATATCCCACTTACTTTAAGTATATTTTATACTAAAATAGGCGCCAAGAACAGTTTCTTATTTTAAGGGGAAAATCCTCTAAATAGAGTAATATTGATAAGAATATATACTGATTAGAGTATAAAAAGCCTCTATAGAAAAACATATATATATCTCACTATCGAAAAAGACTATATTCTTAAATAAAGAATATATTCTTAATTTCAGAAGAATATCATCTAAAATCTTTAAGAAGATTTTTTAAGTATAAAATCTTCTACTTACGAGAATATAATTTTTTCGGTGTAATAAAATTCGAAATGTATTCTTTTCTTTTTCATCTTTATCATTAAAACATTTATATAATTTTGCAATTTTTTATTTTGACACTTTGTTCGCGTTTGAATCGGCGCCATATTTTATAAATATAATTAATTAGTGTACCTTTCGAGTATATTCACCGAAAAAATTGTATTCTTGTTTTGAGGAGATATCCCATTTACTTTAAGTATATTTTATACTAAAATAGGCGCCAAGAAGAGTTTCTTATTTTAAGAGGAAAATCCTCTAAATAGTAATATTGATAAGAATATATACTGATTAGAATATAAAAAGTCTCTATAGAAAAACATATATATATCTCACTATCGAAAAAGACTATATTCTTAAATAAAGAATATATTCATAAAAGGAAGGTCAAAGGGCCAATAAGAGCCTAAACACGGATGTTAGTGTGTGAAAAAAATATTAAGGATTTATTGTAAAAATCGTGACTATGTAAGTTTTTGTAATTAGTTGCTTCTCTCTCTCTCTCTCTCTTGTAATCCTTAATTTTATTTTTATATATTTTATTTTATTTTATTTGTACAGGCTTTTGTCTGAAGATGATCCAAACCCGGGATCGAAACGTTACGTTTTTTAAACGATTTTTACAATAAATCCTTAATATTTTTTTCACACACTAACATCCGTGTTTAGGGTCTTATTGGCCCTTTGACCTCCCTTTTATGAATTTTTTATCAAAGAATATATTCTTAATTTCAGAAGAATATCATCTAAAATCTTTAAGAAGATTTTTTAAGTATAAAATCTTCTACTTGCAAGAATATAATTTTTTCGGTGTAGCAATAAGGTAATCATGTGTATAATACTCGTATTATTTACTAGAAATGTAAAATTTATCGTAGCGATGATTATCACATAAACTATATGTGTGTGTTGACACACACAGTTTACTGTTAACTCTAAAGTATAGAAAAATAATTAATTCAGAAAACACACGGAATTTACTGGTAAATATATATATACACATATATATACATATACATATATATATATACATACACACACATATATATAATATATTTAAAACAATGTGTATGTGTGTGTTTTCTGATTTGTAGCTTAATGTGACACGCAATATATTTTTTAATGTAACTGTAATTAATGTTTTGCACATCAGTTACCATGTAACAATATTACTTGTATATTTCTTAAATATTTTTATCAAGTACTTGAAAAAATCTTAATTTTCTTTAAATTTTGACCGCTATATATTTTTTTTTGTTACATATACAATATGTGTGTGTGTGTGTGTGTTACTGTACTGTGTGTGTATATAACATATTTGATTTAAATTTTCATTCACACATGCGTATCCTTTTGAAAAGGATAGAATTTTAAGACATGGAATAAGCGGTCTAGCTTATTTTTTTTTTTTTTATCCTCAAAAATTAGCTTCTAACGTGATTTTCTCGTGTTGGAACAGCGCGGTCGGCTGCCCCACGTTCAAGGTGTTCGCTCGCACCGATGATGACGACATAAAACAAGGTAAGATATCCCGTGTATTATAGGCCGTGCCCAGTTTCGTCCAATCAAGCTAATGTTCTAATAATTTGAAGTCGGCCGTTTAATGAAGGAACGAACAGCCTCGCCTGAGAGCTTCGATTATGGATGCGGCGACTTTACGTTATAGTACGCTACGTATTCCCGCGCTATCTGTTTTTGACGCGATCTGCGCAGCGCCGAGGCGGAAAGGGTGGAAGAAAAATGAGCGGATCTGTATATGTTGCGCGCATATAAATCGCGGATTCTTTTCTTTCTCTTTCAAATTTCTAAAAATTTTAGCTTGTTTGCAAAATTCTGATAGTTTTGGTTTTTTCTTGGAAAAAAATTAAAAAAGTGTTCAAAAAATTTCTTGTAATTATGAATATACAAAAATAGCTGATTATAGAAAATTGAAACCTGCGTATAACAATCGAATGTAATGTTAAATGTAGCGCAAGATCAAGAAGTTGAAGTTTCAGCTATCGGAGTAAAATTGCCGAAATTGAGATCAAAGGGGATGTTGCCGAACAGCACACTGCTTTCTTATAAGATAACTCGTTAATACCGCGTTTGTTTAATTAGTTGCAAACCGAGCAATTGTCCGATACAATACTGTGATAAGTTCCATACGTTGCGTGGATTTTGTCACTGGAGTGAAAATGATTGGAAGAGCGATATGTTTTGAGCGGCATTGTCGGGGAAAGAAAAGCGCGCGCGGTGGTCAACGCGCTCGCACCTCCCGAAGCAACCGCCTTTGGCGCGAATTCCGCGGCCGCTATAAGTCGCGGCGGGCAACCTATCGCACCTTCAGTGAGAACGCGTTCGTGTTCGCGCGAGGACGCGCCGAGGGCCGAGGTCGAGGAGGCCGAGGACGGGAAGAGGACGCGATTTTGCACGCGCGCCCCACGGTCTTCCCTCGGGCTTCCCGCATTGCCCCCCAAGTGCGTGTGCGAGTATGTGCGCGTTACTCGTCGGATAGTTAACGCCGTTAAAAAAACGCTCGTGACATTTCGAGTCCTCATTGCGAGAGTATCAACGATTTTTATATATCAAATCAAGTGGCAAGTTTTTTTTTGTACTTTGAAAAAGCGCAGAAAACAACAAGCAATCTGTGTGTCTGTGTACATTGGGTGTGTGTGCGTGTGCGTGTGCGTGCGCGCGTGTACAGAAGTCCGGAAAATAGCAAGTGACAGCTCGTGCAGCATCAAACAGTTTTAGAAAGACAAATTGTTGACAGGTATTTTTTTATCTTTTTTATTTTGACGAACAGAAGAAAAAAGAAAAAAAATTTTATAATAAAGTGTCTTCCTGTTTTTTTTTTTTTTTTTTTTTTAATTTATTCAATTAAATAAAATCATAAAATTAAAAAAATCTGAATATTTGAAGGTGGATGTTTTAATTATCAAGCGATACGATTCAAATCGATACCGTTTTCACACCGGTGTATTTTTACAAACTCATTTCTCAAGATTTCATTTGTGTTCATTTGTTCGCTTCCGGGTGAATGCGTTTACTTTCCGGCAAAAAAATTACTCGAACTCTCGGCTTAAGAACTCTAATGAGTTTCTAATGTTCTGTGTTGCAACAATGACGTAACTTCAATTTATTTGAAAATACAGGAAAAATAGCAAAGTTACACACCGATAATCAACAGTTTGAAATATTTTTTTTCCCCAACAACGGCATAGTTAACGCATCGTTCGGCAAAAACGATACGTCCGTGTATAACAATTAACGCAGTGACCGCATCGGCTGTTTCGTTCAAAAAATTATCGGATATTACGCGAACGTTATTACGCCGCCCGGAACTTCCTCGCTCTATAAATTTCAGACGCATCGGTATTCGCACGCGGCTATCCGTAAAACGCGGCGAGAGACTTCGGTAATGTATATGTGCATCGAAAACAAAGCGAGTCTTTTTTAGAAACTTCGTAATTTCACAAATCCAATGCGATTTTCGAAAGCCGCGCTTCTCTCAACAAAAATTTCATTCAATTATCGTTTCAATTTTGGCGTAACAAAAAGAAATTTGTGCTTCGTCGGGAGAAACCGGCGTAAATTAAAATTTGTCGCTCGCTATACGCTATATAAAGCGAAATGGATTTTCACAGCGTGCAAACGATGTGATGTTATTTCCCATCAATAAAAATCATCATAAAAAAATAATACAAATTTTCTCGCGCGCATCGAACCTTTTGCGTGCAAGTCACTATAATATCAACGACTGTGTGCTGCAAAAAGATGATGTTTGTTGGAAGATATTCAAGGCCGCGTGGTCATCGATAAATCGCGGGCTTACGATGCAATTTTAAAATGCACCCTCGTTATCTCTCTCTCTCTCTCGACGTTAATCTATTTTGATTTCTCGGATCATCAACTTTCGCAACGAAAGACACGACCGCTTTACGTTATCATCGCGTATTGATTTTTTTCACAATTATTCAGTATGCGTGTGTGTGTATTATTTTGTTTATAAACACACATTACATATAATCTTGTAAAAATATTCTTTTATCTCATAAACTTCATATATTGTAAATTTTTATCGGTTAGTCTTTTCTGCGCGATCTCGATCTCGATCTCGCGATAAGCAAACGCACGTCCCCCCAATTCCTTTGATTGACAACGTAAAGCAAGCGCAGAAAGAGTTAATTGTCTTCTTTAAAGGTGTACATAACAGCCCGGTATCCTCGGGATCGATACTCGCCTAAGAAGATTTTTCGTTCGCACGAAGCGCCGCCTCTTATATCGATCTCATTCAAATTCAAGTACATAGACCGCGCGCGGGCGAACGGTCAAGACGTATAAAACTTTCCTCGGCTGAATGAACCGAATCGCGATTCACGCGAGATTTTTCTCTTTTCAATTTGATTCAATAGATTTTCGAGCGATGCAACTTTGTTGCGTCTTGCGAAAAAAACTGTGCTGATCTTAATTGCTCAAAACTATAATTAATTCTCACCGTCAGTTTGTTAAGTACAAATAATATTATATTAATCGCACGTGTTTGATGTAAATGTCACGTGATATTTCGGTCAAGATTAATTAACTTGATTCGATAAAAGTCTTATTATATCGCGCGATTCTTAGCTGTTATTATTGAAAACCAGTGAAAAGTGAACTATTGGCTTTTTGCATATTAAGTTAACAAATTGTTTTTTTTTTTTTTTTTGCGAAAAATAATTCAGGCGGCTTTTTATTGGTTCCAAAAACATGATTATTACGAAACGGGATTTCTGAAAAATTCAAAGTGTGTAGTCTTTGAATAATTCTTTAACATCGCACATTTTTGCAGCGCGGTCGCGATAGCGACTTGCACGCGAACGAGATGTGCTATAACATGTCCGTGCGATGGAATATAAACCATTTAGCGTAATCGAAATGTGTGCGGAATGCAAATGGGTGATGCGAAAACCTCATTGCGTCACAAATCTCTCACGTTGAAACAAAAAAACTCAAAAAAAAACTCACGTTGTTGCGAAAATAAAAATCCTAAATCCTTTGCGACCTGTGTGATAACGTGCAATCAAAAGGGAAATCCATTCTCCTTGTTTTTTTTTTCATCATTTTGCACGCAAGTCTTTCCGCTTCTTACAATTGCTATTAATTAACATATACCACCATTAGCCTATATGCTTCACTCGGCGAGAAAATCACATGTACTTCTTCTGGTTGAACTCAATTTGCAATTCGTTCTCTTGCATATATGATGTAATACACGTACACACAAAACGAATGTGCAATTATTCAAGATCTCAAAAAAAAAAAGTGAAAAATCATTTCTCTTCTGTATCAAAATTTATCAAACACGCATTTTACAAAGGGCAAATCAAAAAAGGAAGAAAAAGAAAGAGAGAGAGAGAGAGAGAGAGAGAGATAACGCTGTTCTCTTTGGATCTGTATTGCTTGTAAAAACTTTGTTTCCCTTTTTTTATAAAAAAAAAAAGAGAATTAATTTCTGGGCAGTTCAAGTACACAAAGTTTGTTTTATTTGAAAAATAAAAAACCGAAACTTTTCTTTATTATAACAGAGTCTTTGAAATGCAGACAAAAAGAACCACGAGCGCGTTTTTTTGTATCGATCAACAAAAGCATTTGGCGGGAAATTTAACAGTTAACTTAACTGTTTTTTTCGCCGCTCAAAACCTAATTTTTGTCATTATATAGACGCAGGTGTAAAATCGGGCCGTTGACCCCGGGGTACGTATGCGCAGTAATTTATGTTTTCCACTCTCTTCGAAGGTACAGTTCAGTTTTATGATGTGTTACGTATGATGTACGCGCGATAAGTGCGATTGCGACAGAAGGTATCATTATACGTTGCGCGTGCGGAAAAAAAAGTCGCGGCAAATTCGCGAGTCGGTGTGGAAAGCGCAGCACTGCCGCAATATCTCTTTTTTTTTTTCTATATATGTATATATGTGTGTGTGTGTGTGTGATATTTGAATTTAATAACGATGCAACAATGAATGTTAATTAAGAACGTGGTTTAATTTACGTCTGTTCCTCGACTTTGTTGACGGCGAGTCAATGATCGTTCTTTGAACGCAATTTCGTTTCACAATTCACAACGAGTTGTTCGCGCTTAATTAAGGTTATTAGAACGCAAGAAGAAAAATTGTTCTCATGTGTAAACGCATAAGAGAAGTTTTTTGGTTAATCGATAACTGCATAAAATAAAGATATATACGCGTTCTAAGATTAAATTTTAAAATAAGCTAGAGAGAGAGAGAGAGAGAGAGAAAAGAAGAATATTTATTTTTTAAATTATAGTTGAGTTCGGTGAGTAAAAATAAATATGTTAAATATAGAAGCGTTGCCGAACAAGTTGCAGGATTTTAGGCAATTGAAAAATTAATAAACTGTCGTGTGAGTTAAAAAACAAAACAAACGTTTCGACTTTATTTTAAGTCTTCCTCGGTGTTATCTTTGACCACAAATTTTTCACATTTATAACGTTGACTTGTGATGTTAACGTGTCAACGGTAGTTGTTAGACTTGTTCGGCAACGCTTCTATATTTAACATATTTAAGAATATTTATTTTCGATTGAATATTTTTGAGTCTCTCTTTTTGTTTTGATTTTAAGAATATGAACACACAGTCTCTTAAAGCATTAGATTCGTAGACGATCAATGTAATCGAGTAGCGCTTAAAGATTGATTCTGCGCGTTATGGAAAATATATCGATAATATTTTCAAACCAAAAAACTATAGGCTGCTTCTTACATTTATTTGAATCTGCTCTTGTTCAAACGATGACTAAAAAAATCAAGCAACGAGTATAAGCTCACGATAACAAGTTCCGCAGAAATACTCTTGCATCAGTTAAATCAGTAAAATATTTATCGCACATCAAAGTTGAAGTTTCGACTTTTTTGTTTAATTGCGCATCTATTTTGTGATACATTTTTTGTCCGCATAAAGATTCGCAACGCATTTAAAAAATTAAGAAACAAAAAACACATCCTATTGATATGTATCGTTCGAACAAATGAAATTTTTATTAGATTGCATTAGATAAAAAAGAATATAGAATTAATTACGTATATCTGTGCGCTTAATGCGTCGTTAAATACAAGCTAGGTTTAATTAGCGAAAGTTTTTTTATTTTAATTCGATAAAAACTAACTTTTCCGCCTTTCGAAATCGCTTATATCAAGCGCAACATAAAAAAACAGTAATGATCTAACATTTTTATATATTTACGCAGTAGATAGTAATATGAAATATCGTGAATATAATATGATATAATAAACACGATATAATATAAATAAACGATTAAAATATCGGAATATAAATAGTTACACTTTAAATACAATTGCGCTTAATTGAAAAAATATTTCATAATAAGAGAGAAATAATGTGCAATATTGAATATATAACATTGTAACGGAAGAGAATACTTATAAATAAAAGGATTTATGTTTTTTTTTTAAAGATTTTAATTTGTTAAATGTAGCGCAGCCGAAAATAATAACGGAAATAACTTCAGATCTTATCTTTTATAAGGATAATAACGGGCATGTCGTTGTGTTTCTATTTAATGAGACAATTAGAAACTGTCACATGACGAGTGAAAGTATATATATGTGTGTGTGTGTGTGTGTGTGTGTGTTTTACTCGAAGACACATATCTTATTATTAATTCAGAACGTTAATCGTACTTACTTGTACCTGTTTCGTGTGTTTTGCAATTATATACGCTACGTATTATTCGCTCGTTCATTGATTCGTGGCGAACGACAGTTGTAAATCACCCGGTTGCTGTTATAACAAGCGGCTATACGCGGTAAATTACATCACGGACATTTCCCACTTGTCCCGGATCTGAATCTTAATTACAGTTAGTGGAAATAAGATGTACGGTTATTTGTTCCGTTATTTAATTATAGAAAATTATTTTCTATTTTCTAATTTATTATAAAAAAATATATATTTATCATTACTTTATACAAATATAATTATTAATACAAATTACTCTCTGTATTTTACCCGTACGCGCAAATGCGTATTTTATTTTTTCATGTAATATATAATGACATTAAAAGTAAACAAATATTTATGTTGTGTTTCCTCCAGAAATAAAGAAATGAAACGAACCGATCATGACGACCACGAGCGGCAAGGTCCGCCGCCTTTCCGGGTGCTTCCTGACACCGCTTATCTGTCGCCGATTGTGCCGACGCCGCCTCCACCACGAGCGCCCGAGCCTTACAAAGTCGTCCCGTCGGCAACCAGAACGCAGCGACGATCAACTAGTTTCGTAATTCTCGCCGAGTCCAGACCGATCAGCCCGGAATCCGGTAACGTCTCCATCTTGCCCGCAGGTAGAATCTCGCCCTTCCGCGGACGCGGATTCAAAGAACCACCACCCCGCTCGGTGTCGAGGCCGCAGTCCCCGGAAACCACCGCGAATGAACACCGACGCGGAAGAGTCGAGCGAAGAGGTTAGCAAAGAATTGATAAAAATTTATAAAAAAAAATATATTAACACTAGATATACCAGCTATTTAAATATACTTGTTAAAAAATACAAAAAATATATTTGTTACGAATATATATAAAGTAACATTAAGTTCATAAAATGTATTCTCTACTTATAGCTACACCGAAAAAATTGTATTCTTGTTTTGAGGATATCCCACTTACTTTAAGTATATTTTATACTAAAATAGGCGTCAAGAAGAGTTTCTTATTTTAAGAGGAAAATCCTCTAAATAGTAATATTGATAAGAATATATACTGATTAGAATATATACTAATAGAATATATACTAATTAGATTTATATATATATATATAATCAGTACGTAATCTATATATCTTTTGCATTAATAACGATATTTTGTAAGATTTTTTAAATAATTTTATTTTTATTACATTTTAAAGTTTCTCATACATATTACCTATGTTTAATTTTTGATTTTTAATGATCATAATCTATATCTATATTTATATTCTTTTTAATTATTATTTTTATAATGCAATGTAAACTAATATACAGTATAATAATAATTTTAACACTTATATTATTTAACACTTATATTATTTTTAATTATTAAAAAAAAACATATCTCACTATCAAAAAAGACTATATTCTTAAATTAAGAATATATTCTTAAATAAAGAATATATTTTTAATTTCAGAAGAATATCATCTAAAATCTTGAAGAAGATTTTTTAAGTATAAAATCTTCTACTTACAAGAATATAATTTTTTCGGCGTACAAAAGTCATAACATCATTTTGGAAAGCAAATGAATAAATTTTTACATGCAGTAAAAATTTTGAATTGAAATTGCACGACCAGAGTCAAAATGACCGGTCTGGTAAATCTAGTGTTAAATGCGCATGTCGAGGAAAGTTTTTTTTTCTCTGCAAGTATTTTGCAAATTTGTGATGTTACGATATTTTAAAAACACATTTTCCAAACAAGTAAAATATATATATATATATATAATTTTGAAGTTTTCAATTCTCATATAAGTATTTTTCAAAGTTTTCCAAAATTTGTACAAGCCTTAACACAAAGTAATCATTTTGCAGCTTCGGCGTCGGAACAGAGTAATTCTAGAAAGAGCTTGATACCGCAGCCAACTTATCGTCAACGTTCCACTTCATTGACAAAGGTCAACGAGCAGTCGTCGTCGTCGTTGTCGTCGCAAAAGACCAATCGCCGAGCCGATTCGAAAACGCAACAACTGAACAACTCTAAATCACGCCTGAACGTTTCCGGTTTGCAAGGTCGACCGAACGCGTCGTCCGACTCAAAAACTCAATCGAACGACTCGAGAACACGTATGAGCAAGATCGATTATTCTCGGAGTCGTCCGTTTGCGGAACCGAGAACTCGCTTCATATCCAATTCGACCAGCAATCTCAACTCAACGACAACGACGCGCCGAAAACAAACGACGACGAAATCATTGACAAAACTCTCGCCGATCCAAGGCACTCCGACGAAACAGGAAAAAACAATTTCCGAGTCGAACGCGAAAGGAAGAATATCTTCGAGAATATCGTCTCCCACAAAAACACCAATGAAATATTCGCAAAAGAACGCGACCGGTTCGAATAAAAATGAGAATAAAAATTTCAACAACAACAACAACAACAACAACAACAACAAGGAACGCGTTGTTTCGCCATCGAAGATACCGGTAAAAACGAATAAGACGAACGGTTCTTCCGTCAAGTCGGCCGAACAACCTAGCCAAACGTTACAGATCGAACTTGTTGAATCGAAAGACAAAAATCTGATAAATCTGCTCAAACAAACTGCCACGAACGCGAACAGCACGTCTAGCGAACGTCTGGTGAACACGACGACGACGACAGCCGTGCAACCGCTGCAAATTGACGCGGTTAACGGTGTTTTAACGGAACGTAACGACGGTAATCCGTCAAATTCAAAAGAACGAGCGGAAGTAACGTCCAAATCGTCCGCGTCCAAAGACGCTTCGCCAGTTCCTATTGCAACGCAGTCGGGTTTACCTCCGACGACTCAGAATTCCACGTTACTCGAAAATCAATCGGCCAAGGCGAGCACTTCCGCGAGTTACAAGAAAGACGGGCCCAAACCAAACGCCGACGGAAGAGCTTCGGGAAGCCAATCGACGGCCAAGCGACGGGAAGATCAGGAACTGAATTCGACAACTTCGACGGAGATGTCTCATCAGATCAAGAGCGACTCGACTTTCGAAAGAAAAATGGCGGCGAATCGCGAAACTTCGGAGACCAATAAGACGCTACCTAAAGTGATGGAAAATAATCCGCAGATTGTTGCGAATCAGGAGAGAAAAACTGTTGCGGCAACGGCGAAGACAAACGACGCGACGATGGCGGACAAAGCTGCGAGCAGCAATAACAAAGAGAATTCGGCGACAGACGCGGAAAAGACGAGTGTGAACAGTAAAGGTGTTTCGTCCAAAAACGGAATTCGCGGCAGTCAAGGATCGTTGGGATCCACAGGCGTGTCCGTGGACTCTATAATGAGTTATAAGTCCACAGACACGGGAGTTAGCTTAAATACGTTTGTAAGGGTGTCCTCGCCGAGAGAGAAAGTGGGCGTGCACGTGATGAAGCGGCCGCAGGAAATCAAAACGCTCAGCGGCGACATTGTTCGCGAAGAAGACAGGGAGTCCGAAAAGAAAAGACGGTGAGTCCAATGGTTTTTTAATATACCTATTACTTATGCACTAATAATTTTCACTTTTTTTTCAAAAGTTTCACACCGACAACATGCCAATCAGCTACTTGTCAAACTCATTTAATAATTAAAAAAAGTTGTGTTTTTTTTATTTCAAAATTTTTCGGTTTTTCGTCAGTTCATGACGAAACTCTTGACTCACACGTAAGGTAAAAGTCCCAATGACTGACCACGTCCTATTACCTGACCACTAGGGAGAATATTATTTTTTATTAACATCTGTGCACGCAAAAAGAAGAATATTATTATTCATTTACATTATTTAACTGTTCAGCTTTTCATATAAAAAATTATGCTTCTGAACATTTTGCTTAGAATATTTAAAAACTTAATGTATATTTATACCATGATTAATCATGGTTGATTTCTTAAGATATGGCTAAGAAAAGTGTCAAACTTCTTAAGACAATAAGTAATAAACAGATCAAATTTTACAATTGACACAAACTATTTTAACTTGTTCAATTCAACCATAAAATGTTCGTCATTTGATAAATCAGGAGGGAGTGTTCTATAAAAAAATCCACCGAAGAAGATTAAAAATAAAGCCGAAACGTTTGGAAAATAAAATTGGCAGATTTATTTATTGCAAAACACCCTGCAAACGGTTCACACTTGCCCAACTACAACCGAAAAATTTTGAAATATCGTCAAGAACCCATTCAAATCAACAACAATATTATTGTTTTTTTTTTATCTGTAAATAAAATTGTTTGTTTATCACGTGTGTTAATATATCCGTTTAACAAATGTCGTTCTTTTCTTCTTTTCGTCGATTACGAGCAATAATGCACCTTTCGATTTCGGTGCGGTCAGAAAGAGTTAAAACACGCACTGGAGTAATAAAAAAAATATAAAATAATAGAATAATATAAAAACACATTTTAATGTTTGACAAAAAAAAAAAAAAACTATAAAACAAGAATAAAAGAACGATTTGCTCAGATATAATCTGAGTAGATGATATTAATATCTAAATCGTGTGATAAATAAAATGAAATTTTTCTACGGATTCCGCGTCACGGCAACAAGGCATCGCTCTCAATTAAATAAATCATTTTCGTGACGCGATTGTCTTACAAAAAAAAAAAAAAAATTAACCGTCGAGATTGATTGTCGAAAAATCTCTACGTTTTCTCTTCTTTTTTCCTTAACTTCACATGCGATCTCTAACGTAATATTCAATTTTTAATTTTTCAACGCTGGATGGTAAAGCAAACGCGCGAGCTATTCGCGGTTGATTGTTAGAAAAAAAGGCCTTGAGAAATTTTCTAAAGAGAATGCGTTCTATAACTACACGTAGAAGTTATATTATTGTTATTTTCTAAACTTAGACTCTCTCGAAACTTTTTGAATTTAAATCTGAAACCTGTGAATATAAAAGGAAGATAAAAAAAAAACTCTCTCTCTCTCTCTCTCTCTCTGTTTAGTTATAGATACCCAGAATGGGTATAAGGTGATTCGAGATATAACCGCTCTATTTCGTTCGAACGAAATTTCCTTTGATGTAAACCCAAGATAGTGTATGAAGTGGCTTTACGACATGAAATGATTAGTCGCGTATTTCATCACACCGATATAATAGCGACCTAAAACCAGATCTTTTGCTTGTGAGACATGTTATATACATACAGTACCGGCCAAGAATAAGTCGAGTATTTTTTTTTTTTTTTTAATGTTATGCGATTCGCCAAAATCCGTTGAAGTTGTTTATATTGTTTAGTCTGAGCAAAGGTTGTTTTATTGAGTAAAAACGTATTAGATACGTTTCCATATTTCGAGGTTGTAACGTTCGTATGTTGTACATTAACGGACGTGTGTATTGAGTTTTCTGAAACGAACGCACACGGACGTAAATCGCGCCATTCGTTATACTGTGCGCTATTGCAGTAATTTCGCAGATATCTCAGAAGCAAATCGCAGGGCCGTTGCGTTGCTGCACAGTTATTTATTCATCGTTCCTCACAACCGCGCTTCCGAGTTTGACCGAAGCATCTCTCCCCACACAGTTTGATATCTTTCAAGACACGAATTCATCGTTAAATTTAATGACGCTCGTGTGATTTAGGCCGTGTCGCGAGAGATTCCTGATGAGATAATTATAATTTTGACAATTTCAGAGACTATCGGTTAATTCATGATATTTACTCATAGTTATGTAATATTTTTGAAAAAGATAAGCGCGCAATTAATTTTTTCTTCCTCTTGAGAAATATATATAATAAAATAAATTGCTTTTCAACACGAAGATTTGCGACGATTTTGTACTTTAAAGCGCTGAAAAATAATAGAAAACTTTATATATATATATATATATATGTGTTATATATAAAATATATATATATATATATATATACATTTTACATTAGGTCTACCGGAAAGTTCTGTCCGTTTTTGGAATAAAACAAAATACAAATTTTTCTGAAGTTTTCAAAAATGGGATATACAAATTGCCCTCACGCTGACAAGAAATCAGTAATAATAATGGCAATTATATTATTTAATCAAGTTTATTGACGGTAAGACAAATTTGTATTTTGTTTTATTCCAAAAACGGACAGAACTTTCCGGTAGACCTAATATATATATATATAACACATATATATATATATATAAAATGTTGCAAATAATACATAGACTTGCGTAATACTTGTATAAAAAAACTCAAAGTAAAATACTATGATTATAACTGCGCTTTCCGCTACACTGTGCTACTTCCGTCATCGTTAAATCGTGATTTCTTGAAATGTGTGGAATAAACAAACAATTCACACATTGTTCGCTTGAGTGACAAAATTTCTCTCTTTGCTCTTTTTTTTTTTTTTTTTGAAAAACTTTCTCCGAACAATTTGGCAATAATTTTTGCCTCATTGTACAAATAACACAGATCCATTGAATTATTCTTACTGATATACAAATTGTTTGAAAAATAGATAGAGAATAATACATCCCGCATTCTCATTCATAATTTTTTCTGATGAATATTAAAGAATTACGCGCGAGAGTTACTTCCGGGAACAATTTGACTAGCCTGTTGATAAACTAGCGTGACGAGAATTTATTATATATCCCGCAAAGAATAGGATGCCCGCGAAAAGATGTGTACGTGATTTCTGCAGAAAGAGTTTTCGCTTCGCCAATCACAACACGAACTGCGGCCGACGAAGTTCCCGGTCGTATTTACAGTCGAGCAAGATTTCAAGAGTTCCTTCACCCCTAGACTAGTTATAAATTTCTACCTTCGGCCGAGGCAGCCGAGGTGTGTCTATCGATCGTGTCGGGATTTACATCGACTGAGCTACTGCAGACTATAGAGCTCGCAAGAGGATAATAAATTAGTATTCCCGAACTATCCCTCTTAGCCGTCATAATGGCCACTGCCGTCTGAAGATTCAGAGTGCTGTAGAAAAAGTATATACTTAGTCATATTTGTTGCGATATCACGATACCATATCTCTGTGATATTGAAATCGGCATCGATTTATGCGCCGAAAAAATTATATTCTCGTAAGTAGAAGATTTTATACTTAAAAAATCTTCTTAAAGATTTTAGATGATATTCTTCTGAAATTAAGAATATATTCTTTATTTAAGAAATTTCTTAATTTAAGAATATAGTTTTTTTCGATAGTGA